GTAGACAATCTGCTGTGCTCAAGTTCGTAAATCAAGGCTGCATATACTAGAATATATATATTTTCTATTTCTATGAAGTGATTAATATAAATATAGCAAGTGATCTTTGCAGTGGCCGAAACATCATGAGTGCCAAAGTGAAGTTGCTCGTAGAGAATGCATTAACAATAGTTCTATTGATTATTGGCAAATGTGTCCCATATCGTATTCCACGATTTGAAAGTTTTTTGGGAAGTTGCCTTAAAGAATCACGAATGCAACTGGACGCAAACGATACTTGTTGGTAAGAAATGCACCGTTGAATGCATCATTGAACCAGCTAGGTTTATTACCAGGTCTCGGTTCGAACCCGGGCATAGACACACTTCGTTTCATGTTGGGAGCCAGCCGTCTGATGGAATGCCAATCGGCGATACCGTACGTAAACCTCGAGATAAAGAGGGTCATCACAAACAGATTGATGGGTTTGTTTGCGGGCAGCGGCATACGATCTCATGGCTGGCTGGTTTACAGCCACAGAAATGTTTTTTTTTTGCTGGCTAAATAACGCCTTTCCATTATGGCCGCTAATTTCATTTGGCATTTGATCGAAGCTTGTTGTAGAATACTTTATTCCTGCTTGGCTCTGTCATATGTCTGCATGCGTTTGAAGAGCTTCAAGATGGCATTCGTTGAGAGATCTTGCTGACTTAACTAATGCCTAAAATTGATACGGATAACCAAGACATTTGAACGAGTTTAGGAGAGTCGAAGTATACGATAAGTTCGCATTGATATGCGCAATAAAGAGTAGTACCAGTATGTCACACCCAAAGCAATACAACGCATGAAGCAGTAGGGAACAACAGCAAAGCGTATATCTTCTTGCTATAAAGTGGATTGTCAGGGGAATTCGTACAGCGAACGAAATGGATGAGCAAAATACGAATCTTGTATTGAAACTGAAACATCCAATCGTAAGAAAGTTGGGAGGGGAGCACTGTTTTTCCCCTTTCGGCCTAGAACAGCAATACCAGGCCAAACCAAGGCCCATAAATAGCGCGTCCATATACACAACGTTGTCTGGTAGTAAGCTCTAGATATTTACGTGTTCCGAAGAGTTATTTAGTCAAGAGCACGACAGTGGTACGAGTCTAGGGAATACTTTAATGCACACAATCAGAACAAATCCCTACGGTGCTTAATTCTGCTTAATCATTCCCTTGACTTCCCCACTAATTCGAAACCTGACGTAGAATCCCTTTGTATGAATGAGTGTAATAAATCTGGGGCTGACTTAGCTGGGAAACGTTATTTGCTTCTTTATTAGGGTACCCGCAAAGGGAACGATAGGATTCTTTCGTAATGTGGTCATTCCATAGAATTCCGCACTCTTTAGATAGTAATAGTAGTAGGCATCGCGAATGAACAGAATTATAGTGTGCATTGTGTATACTCATTAGACAGCGCTTGTACTGATGCCTGCGCTATTTTACTATAAAGCTCGTAAAATTCATCTGTAGCACGTTTTATGATAGCATTCGAACAACACCTCACAGAAGGTGACGTAATCCTAACGTTTAGTAACATGCTTCTTCCATTGAGGAGATATAGTATGATTAGTAGCAAGTAATGCTTATTATCATATTTAATTGTATAATTAAAGTATCATTATTTACATATGATGCTAGATATTCAATAATACGATCGTATAAATATACACTACTATATATCACAGGATCAATGATGATTGTTCATTTGTATAACCTTAGGCTGTAGAATTCATAGGCTTGAAAAACTGAAAGTTTTCGGTATAGTCTTCCACGGTTCTTTTCAGTCACTGTCTCTTATCGCTACCGTGCTGAAAAATTTATTGTCTATTTCAGCAAACTTCTGCTTCCGCCTGCTGAAACAGTTGAGTCCAAAACGGGACCCCTCCGACCCTTGATGAGCACTGGGCTGTCGGCAAGGAAATAAACTAATAGGTTTCTTGCCGTACGATGAAGGCTCAGAGGACGCTCCAAGAAAGAGGCATTCGCTGGACTGAGTAGTTAGAGATTCCCTGCTGTGAAGTTCTTTTAATTTATATTTGCCTCTTAAGCTACGACTGGGGCCACTTTGCGGGCGAATAGGCAAGGCGCTTTCATAAAAGGAAGGCGGCTTGAGTTCCTGATTGCACAAAATGCGCTCAACACTTCTTTGTATCCTCCTGTGATGTGCGAGGTAAACCTGGTACCGCATACGGAGGTAAGCAGTCCGAGATAAGGGAATTTGTTAACGTACCACAGAAAAAATTCGACAAGCGACAGTATATTGCCAGCCATGATCCTGTCTTCTTTTTGAATTTTGTGGCCTTCGTCTTATTCAGGTTAACCGTTAATTTTAGTTCCGTTATACCCATGTAAAGTTTAGCTAGAGCTTGTCGCGCTTAAAATCTGTTAAGGTCGAAGGATTACCAAGTCATTCATTATCGTAAAGGATAACCTCAACCAAATTTGTTCATCCCCTTATTCGATCACGAATATTTCTCAGTGAGACTGTGAAGAGCTTAGATTATCACCTTGGACAAGGCTCTTCCTTTTTGGGAAGGTGTTATTTAATTTTTATATCGTCCCTCTATAAAATCGTAGCCAGCAGGGGGAGAATATTTCACGGTGCACACACGTACGTCAAGGTATAAAGAACCAGATTTCTGCGTGCAGAGTCGAATGAATAAACAAATATTGTCCATAGGGGGCTTGCTGGTGTTTTGAGTGCATTATGTTAGTCATCAGGAGACTTCATGTTGTCTTCAGCGAGCGCTTTCTCCGAAATCCATTCTGTTCCTTTGGTATAGCTTTCCTGCTTTCTAAAAAGGCAGACAATATTTTAGCCAATTTACCGGCGAGCATTCTGTAGCATGCGCTCCTTCTAGCGATTCCACGCCATGAAGATGGCAGATTTAGCTTACCTTTGCCTTTAGGAATCACCAATAACGATGTATGCTTCCGCCGAGCATGTAGACGATCAGGAGTACAGTTCAGTAAGAAACCAAAACAAAGGCACGTTTGAGGTGTTTATCCTGGACCCCGTCCGGGCATGCTGCCTTGTTATTCTGCAGGTTCCCGAAAGCCTGCAGAACTTTTGGCGTCATGAACCTTTCTTCGAGTAGGCTGGGTTCTGTCTTGAATTCCGCATCACCGATCAGAGAAAACAATGGCATATCATGTGAAATCATATAATTTTCTAGAACATACCAACTTATTAAACGTACGGTCGATCCACAGCGTGCTACGTGGCTGCTTTTGCTATTTGCAGAGTTTCTGTTATGTAACGTACGTTATTCAGCAGATAACCTTAAGCGCTGCGGTCAGACGGCGAGCTGCTAGCTATACGTTAGCAGCTCACCGTATTAGCTTAGTATATATGTTAGCAGCTCTGAACGCATCAAGCAAGACGACCGAGGTTATCCAATCAGGTTCTGTATTGTTATTGTCGACAGGGCATACGACTGATTTCGATGAGGTGTTGTGCATAGCTCTGTGTGATGGCATGAGCTACTTGGATGACTTTGTGTACCTGCTACAAGAAATTATCCACATCTACACTAGGCGGCAAAAATTGGTTCTGGAGGCCCGGGATGGCCCAACAGCTGTAGTCCGCAAACGTATTTCGAAGCGCTCATCTGCAGCTTGAGTCGAGGCGCGAGTCACTAGTTATGAGTAAGGGAAGGTCAAAGAGAGCAGCAAGTTCTTCTAAATCGCTAATGAACTTCTCTATTTGCACGTATCTCGACTCTGATGGAGGCGGATACCAGCTCCTACGATGCAAATGCATGGACCACTCAATGCGATAACGTTATTTATAGCTAATCTTGGTGAAAGGTTACCTAATTCATGTTTATAAAACACAGATACCTATCATAAGCCACCATTCGTTCGAGCTGGGTATTTCATGGCGTCGAAGCTGAGAAGATCAAGTTGGCAAGTCAACCAGTTATCCGTCAGTATGAGAATATCGACCCTTTTCCGAGCTGTCAGCTCAAGAAGCGTTAATATTGCAGGACCCTTGCAAGTCCGTTAGGCAGCTCTCAGCATCTCGTCCAATCTGGTCGCGTGCTCCTGGATCAATTCTGTTACGTCTGGTTACGATAACGTTGGTAAGTGCCACCGTGTCCTGAGAGTGCTGTACAAGTGGACACCGCTGCGAGGACTTAACTCACAAATCTTTAATCGTAAGCACTTGTAACAGAAAAGGGTAGCTCTTCGAGTCCGTTGACTCGACGGTGAATACGCTGCTGACGATATTAAATCATGCAGAGATTACGTCACCGCCTTAAAAGAATCATTTCTATTGAGGATCTGCTGAGGGACTCAGCTAGCGCCATAAACACGATAATCCCTGATTCGACAAATCAAATCACAGTGATATATAGGTTGTAACCAATATGGCTAAGGGAAAACTTGCACTATTATCATATTCTCCTGAACATACTACTTGACAAACTAAAAAATCGTATGGAGACATGGTGCTGCAACAAAGAGCTCCTGAAAAAGGTGCAGCTTCCTTCTCTCAGAACGCCAAGTCGCCTACAGATCGATACAAGCCAACAAATAACCAAAACATATATACTATATTTATCATATCTATTGGGCAAAATCCCAACACACGTTGATTTTGTCCAGACTACAGTAGTACAGATAGAAGCAAGAGGCGTTCTATGGTTAGGCATATAAACAATTAAATTTCATTCTTTCATTAAGATTTTATAGCTTCTAGCCGATATTATAGATTATTATACATAAGGAAATGGCCAACCATCAGGCCAATTGTTTCGCAACGACAAGCCTGAAAAAAATCATCAATTCAATTGTAGAATTAATTACTTAATTATTGCGATTTATTTAAGTTGCTGTAATTGCCCTGAAGTTTAATGACAGATTAAATAAACGTTGAAGAATCTCGAGCCAGTATGTGCTACCGATATCCTGTATTTCTTTTTTACTGTATGCTAATCTTTAATTTTTGTTAATTGCTTTTAGGTGACCGAATCGTCTCGTCACGGCGACGGAGAGTGCGCAGTTCTGGATTGCCATTTATCAAATTTGGAACAACTTTCTTTTTTCTAAACCTAGTATGTTCAGATAACTTGCTCGATTCAATTGTACGATAATTATTTTTTACCATATCTGTCAGCTGAGCTGATGCTAGATCGAGGATTTTCGAATCTGAGACTCGTTCGGTTTGAATATTTGAATTGTATTTAATCGAGAACGTCTTGGGGTTAATCGGCGGACCGATACTTTGTGCACCGATAAGCGCCGAAGATGCTCGCTTTTTGCGTGTGCAAGCCTCTGAACCGTTTCAGCCGTGAAAGTTGTTAGCAGAATCGGCAACAGAGCTACGCCTGCTTTTTTTCGAACTTCATCCGTGGATTAAGTTTACGTCGCTTGTAACGTCGCTCGGAAACTATCTTTAGCCCTATTTGTAAACCCTTGAAAAGTAGGTCTTGAAAATGAAACACCAACAACAAAACACAACCACTGGAACAGCTGCCTCAACCCAAAAGTGGGCAAAAAAGGGAACGAGAATCCTACAGTAGAAGCTCTACATTCAAAACGATCTTGTCCCCTATGTGTGGACTGCACGGCCTCAGCCATGCTGCACGCTGAACAGTTGGTAAGACAGATCCGCAAACTAAGGCAGCTCTGTAGTTTGCCTGCAGCAAGCTTATTAAGCGGACAATTTTTGAAATATTGCCGCTTGAAAACGAAATCATGCCATACATTATGTTCCAGCTGCACCGGGTTTAAGCTTAACAAGGCGACATGGAAATCTTCAAGAATAAGCCGATGCGCCCTTAAAAGATAAAACGTGAACCTGTCTGAACAGAAGGAAGCAACCCGTGTTGTGACTTCGTCAACAAAGACAGTACTGGTTGTGTGCGACTTGATTTGCAAGACCCTCAGACCGGTCTTGCGAGAGCTCCGCCTTGGAAACCACTTATCGCGGTACCTATAGTTACAAAAATAAATATAAATAATGCGATAAGCAACAAAAATAAGCGCTTCGAGATTCTGCTGTTTTCGTACGGGTAAGCTAGAGGACGAATTCATAGCCGCAGTTAAGTCGTCTACTATTAATCTGGAAAAGCTACACCCAGGGTCAGAGCTGCATGTTCTGTCGAACTGTAAGGCCGCTAGTGAAATGTCTGCCCGAAGGGAAACTCAGTTAAAGTATGCCTTTCGCTTTTGCGCTTTTCGTCATTAAGAGTGACTGATACAGTTATAAGGATGATGTAGCTAAGAAAATCGCTTATAACATCGTAAGACGAATCAAACCTTTTTTAGGGCGAGGATCTAGAGAATTTGGAGGGGAAGTCTGCAGACAAATCGCAGGGACATGTCTGCGCCGGTGACCCGCCGCTTTGATATTACCGCAGCTTCCGTTATCATTGACGATCAAAGGCTTCTTAAACCCAGCTCTAATTACGCTAAAGGCCCAGACCAGACCCAGGAGCAGCACCAAACCTCGCAATCAAATGGTGAGCACGCTCTCGGAGCAAAGGCCAAGGTTAGAGCCGCAAGAACGCTAAAGGTCATTTAGTAGAACTGTATGAACGTCCCCATATTAGCGCTACTCAACCCGACAGCGTGGGATACAATCGATCTCTTGTACACACAGAGACCCGGGCAATCGGTTCGTTCGACTTATCGAAATCTTGCTTCGTCTACTGCTGTGCACAAGAAGGAATAGATCTTAGCCGCCCTACGGGCGAAGTCTCGACATTTTGCAATCACGAAGTTGGGGCTTTATTCTGCGCCATTGGAAGCATTGCTCATCAGGAAACATAAACCTTAACTGCGTAAATTAGACTCAAAGAAGCTCATTAGGTCCCTCAGCGCCAAACTCAGTGGATGTTGATATCTATTTGCATTATCTTGTTGACGTTTTGCGATCTTCGATTCGTCTCACGAGATATCGGCCATGCTTTGATCAGAATTGCAACCTCGTCTGCCTGGCCCAGGATGTATATAGGCTACTGGGGGTACTGCAACCGGCAGCGGAGCCACTGGCCTCAATGTTTAAAGTGATCTACCGAAAGACGTACGGATCACAGCATAAGAAATATTTGGCTATTATCATTAAAGAAATCGAGACTCAGCCACATAAGTGGCTTGGCTACGCCAGGCCTGAAACGTGTGCCATCGCCTCATTAGTGCTCATCGATTCTTCCCTGGGAATCTCAGCGCTATGTGCACTATATGCGCTATAAACCGACGACGGGCGGACGTGTCAGCGCCATACTGGGCTGCTATGTTCAACGAACGTCTTTGTTTCGGACTGCTCCGTCTTCCTAGGCTGAATGCAATGCTTTTAGCTATCTCAAAAGGCAAAGGCGATCCAAACTAATCGACATCGTGGCGCAGGCTCTTGTATCTGCTGGAAAATAGACTAAACGTATTCTCCGAGAATGTGAGTGGGTTACCTAAGGAGCAACATGGATTCACGAGCATTTGAACGAAAAGGCATGTACGATCCCAGCCGCCGGTATCAAACGAATTTTAAGTAGCTCTCGGCAATACGCCTACCCAGACTTTGACAGAGGTTTGTAGACTTCAAAGGTACCTTCAAAAATGCTCCAAAGAATATAGCCTCAAGTACGCTCACCGAAGTCGGCGTTCTTGCAAACGTGCTTAACTTAATGCCAGCGATGCAGTTCTTTTTTTAGTCACCCCAACGTGCAGGAGGCCCTAGCCAGGCTACATTCTCCGGTTTCGGGATTGACTCTGACCATTAACCTATTCAAAAGCAAGACAATGAAATTCAGGAGAGGTGGCAGCGCATATACAGCTCAATATGCCAAAAGGCTACAAACGTGTAAAGAACGCTTTCTGATAAAAATGAATAAATAGGTTTGATTGGTTGGTATTCAGATGTGACTAGTTAGAGGGCTTTAGCAGGGTTTTCCACCAATGTACCATTTGCAAAATCCACAGCTGAAGCTGAAAGTCTATATACTATATATTAGACGAGCCAACTTTTCTAACGCCGCCTTGTTGATAATAGTGACTATAATTAAATGCTGTATACTTTGCACGCATTTAAGTTTGAAGTATAACGCCATTATGATTTCTGGTATTTTTATAGCCTAGATTTCAATTTATTTGATTATACGAAAACAGTATGTAACCCTCATGATCTGTTTTTGCAAGTGTCAGAGTAAAATATATAATAGAACCACGTATTGAAAAGTATAGCATAATCGGTAAAAGCTTTCCTCGTCAAGACTAATTGGGGCAATGTTAGCGGAACCAAAATTGAATATTTAACGCTAAGTATTTTTTTCATAAATTCACTATTACTCATATACAGGGTTCCACAGACCGTTACGTTTTATACGACGTTTTATAGACTACTTGGTACTCTTATTTTCTTTCATCGTTTATGTACCATATTCAGATGTTTGCTTTTTGTTTCAAAACAGGAGACGAAAGGGAAAGTTTCATAAGCATGTACCTTAAAAAAAAAAAAAAAAAAAAGCAAAATCCTAACTTGAATCTTAAGGAACTAATGGAATCTTGAGCGATACTTAGAGCCTCTTCCAAAAATTTTACACAGATTATTTTAATTTTGTCTCTTTCGCAATTATACAGTACTGTTTATACGATAGACAAAGAAAAGCTATTGGTCAGATGAGCAAACCTTGCTAAGTTTTCTCTGGGCCGGTTGTGTGTACCACCTTGTAGCTACCAGTCTGACCTATTTATTAACCTTAGTCAGATTATAACGGACAATGACATGCCTGTATTGAACCGTTATTTTATACAACTAATCCAAATATACATAATTATGAAACAAAATTATACTATGGAAGGGAAGAGTTTGCGAGGAATGTCCTAGCCTTAATTTTCTCTTCCGTCTTAACAGCTGTCCTTAGCGGTCATATTATCTAATTTTTCCTATACAGACATGAAAAAAAGCCTATATAGTCTCTTCTGACATAGTCCCTGGCATTATCTGCCACTACTTTTTATTGTGTTGCGATATGTCCGTGAGTTTCCAACAAGCGTTTTCAACCTTTCCTTTTCGTACGTATACGTTTAGGGAGGCAAACAGCTATAGCTGACACTTATCTAGTACGCGTGTTAACAATTAAATATAATTCTTGAGTATTAACGCTATTGACTTCTTTTTTTTTTCTGTAATATAAGTAACGTTTAAATAAATGGAAACGTCGATGGAAAAATTGTAAAATTGTCCCGTCACCCAATAACATGGTCAGAAGCCCCGAGAAAGGGGGCATTACGTACATAATATGAATGGCTCTGTACGAATGAATGCGTAGAACATTTAAATCGTAATTCTGTGAAACGGAAGCGTTTCCATTAAATGTTAACTGTTGGCTATATTATAAGCAACGAGTGAGCCTGGGGGTGGACGTATCTTGCCTAGACTGCTAGTAGAACAGATCACTGATTAATTTTTATTAAAAACGATGTAAATGTTTACGTCCGAAATTTCAACTAGTTCGTAACTGAAGACGGTATCTTTTACTAAAGCTAGCTCGTTTATCGCGTACTTGCTTTTTCAAACGTATATAATACATCCGTTTTTCGCATAAGGCCTTTTTCTCAGAAGATCAAATGGGCCTACCATTTGCTTTATTAAAAAAAAACGCTCAGCACGAGAGTGTAATGTAATGTATGTTGGAAATCTTCAAAAAAGTAAAATATATCGAGCGTACACTGCAATAGCATCTAATAGAGTGACTGAACAGAATGGCTTCAAACTACAGCTCAATAGATAGAGTACCATATTCTCATCTTTCTCTGTCGGGTTTTTCATCGTTTAATTGCGCAGACCGATATCTATATATTTTATGTCAACTGCCCTGAGAATAGCGCCCTGCGAATTATAGTAAAGCTCTTTATTCTGTTATAATAGATTACGGATCGAGTGTGAAAAATGTCTCTGATACGAACTAAACCTTACGCTCAGGAATATAAATGTAGTTTCAGCAAAATTTATATTGCTCCCCTTTGCCCAGTAAATTCCTGAAAAGACTGCTTCTGATGAAACCTTTCCTCAATCCAGAAATCGTAACCGGAGATTTTCATAGGAATATTACCTACTTAGATGCTATGATACTTCGTCATAAAGGCTAGTCGTTTATGAGTCCACGGCTTTCCCTGAAATATTTCAAATACATGAGTTGTATTTTTTTTTTTTTGCTTCAGATCATTTTCGTAACCGATTCCAGCCAGTTGTACCTTCCGGCGACAGTTATATTACAGAAGATATTTCAAATATAGCCAAATAGTAAAATGTTGGGATTATTCAGTAGTGGTTGTTCTATATGCTTAATATATGTAACGCGAGGATGACCTGATAACACATTGGCTGTTATCAGTTTTGTGTTACAACTAGAGTTACATTCAGATCAGCTATATATAACCGAAGTCATCTAAGCGTCAAGCACTTCTGCGGTGCAATGGCTAAAGATACACAGGATGGACCGGAACAAGGTTATTGGCATGACAGGTCAATATCATTTTCGGCAATCTTGCCTTCTTGAGACTTGTGGATGTTTTTTCTTCACTTGACAATTCCGCTTCAGGATATCGGCTATTTGGAAAGCTTCGCTCATCGTATTGACCAGTTGCCAACACGTACAAGTGTTTCATCTCGCTTACGTCGTAGCACACGTCGCATAGGATTAGATACAATTCAGAACCCACTCATCATAAGTACTAAGATGGCAGTTAGATAGGCAATTAGGAATCGATGTGCCGTATGTTTAACTTGTGTATCATGACTTACCAGTTCCCCTTTACGTGAGCTAGTAAGCTTTGGATCAACGTGACACATTACTCCAGTTACCATTGCTCTAAGTACCCTTTTCATTTTTTTTAGCTATAGTTATTCTTTCGTAAGCACATAAGTCTCAAACATAAAACAAAATAAAAAAATATTTATATGACGGGTGACAAGAAGAGGGAAAATACAATCCTATTAAACATGAGACAGTGTGTATTACATATAATTTTAAAATAACTAATAGCGGCGTCCATTCAGCTTGTAGATGTGGGATATCTATGCGTCTTCGCCGAAGACCTAATAACACATTTCTAGCTCTAAAAAACTATAGCATTATAGACTTGAGAAGCTAGTTCCTTGATTCTGCTGATGAATGTAAAACATGCTTACGAATTAAAAAAAGAAAATTTAAGATCTATATTGATATAAAATAAAAGATTAGAAGCCCCGATTAAAAACTGACTACATTAATAATTTGACTAATATTAATAAAATTAATATTTTGACTAGAGAACGCGACAAATATAAAATACTAACAAGTTCGACGAAAAGGAAGTTAAAACATGAGAGGGAAGTTAAATCTGTTATCTGCAGGGAGGCACTATGCAAAACCTGCTTTACGTTTTAATACTATCACTCTTATGAGTAAACCTTAGTTTCGCTTAACGTCTCTGGGAGATAGCCCAATATACGGAAAGAACTGAGATATGAGTGGGCTATGCACGTACACCGTTAAACTGTTATTCAATCTTGTTTTTCTGTTCTATTTGTATTATTCCCTTTCTATAGGCACTGTTTTCCGTCGAGCTAACAATCGTGGAGGCGGTATTGTCGAGCAACATAACGGGTACGTGTCGTCTCGAAACGGGTGCCAGATTACCCATCGACGACTTCATAAAAGTCACTGCTGCGAGATGCTATCGATACATGCATGAGAAGTCCTTCGTACCCGACACGCGGTTAACGTGAGTACTAAGATGGCCAATTATGTCCATATTACCTGAATGCTTTAGGAGCTAATTCTTGTTCAGCTATAACCTCGGGTAAAAGTAGGCCTACAGTGACAGATAACATAGATTTATAGTTGAAGAGAGAATAAGCTTCCAATTGAGTAAAACGTTCTCTTTAAATCAATTGGATGCTTTCAATTTTCAGCGCATTTTTACCTAACTATAATATATTCTTTCCTAGGTTTAGTCCTACATTGTTCTTGACTGTAACCATACTTTTATTTCACCCTGTATGCTCTTGTATACGTACGTGATCTATGCACAATTATACTTCCCTTCACAAAAATCATACAAAAAAATAAACTGATTCAGTTTTTTTACTTTCATAGCCGTAGTTATTTTATATTTGTATAAATGTCGCATATCTTACCCCTAGGCAAGAGCCATCGCGCGCTTATAATAACAAGCCGTTATCTCCAGTACAGCGGTTTGATGGCAAGGGTAAAAAGCTGTAATTTTTAGTACTAGCGTTCAATGCAGATAATTTCTCGTACATTTTGTTCTGTCAATGGCCGAAATACGCATAACAGATTGTCTTTAACAGCCTGCATCCATTACTTTTTGCCTCCCGACATAAATATGCGTGCATGTTTCGTTTCGTATATTCGAAAGACAAGTTTTTTGGGAGAGCCCTGCTTGTCTTATTACAAACGAGTATTGCACCTATTTTTACAGTACAGAAAACGATCCAACTAGGTCTTCGTTCTCCTAATATTTATACGATTAAGGTGTTTTATTAGAAACACACGGAAATATATAAAGACTTACAAGGCATGGTTTCAACGGACGTTAATCGATGATATGCGTTTTAGTATATGAAGTTCTCGAGTAGAATAATAGATTTAATGTTTGCTACCACGCGAAAATATCATTGGATTTACACAACATGGGATACCAGTAAATAACGAGATAATCAAAAGTTCTAGTTTAACGTAAAGTTTGCTACATTTTTTTCTTGCTAAAGCCATGGTCTAAATTGAGAAAAAAAAAAAAGCTATAGGATAACGTTTCACAACGAAGGCGGACCTTCATCTAATGAATCTAACTTATTTAAGCATATCATCTCAGAAACGTCCGTATCAGCCGGTGAGTCTTCGCTAAAGCAAAGTAAACCTTCGAATTCGTTACATGCCAAAACGATTGTAACCCTTCCACTTGACAGCAGGATAAATTATTTTATTCTTGTTAGCTTAAAATGAAAAAAAAAAAGTTATCGAAATCAGTGTAATATCATCGGAATCGTAAAATTGGTTGGCTGTAATAATTAGGGACTTATGCATCAAAGCTAACAGACATAATATATAAGCAGAATTATTAAGAAATGGCTAATTACAGCGCCTCATCAATCATCAATTATAGTGTACTTTTTTTGTTTCGGCCTTTCAGCTTTTGCGGTGACCGACTCTGCGATGGAGCTTGCCAAAACAGCACGCTTTGCTATGAACACCGTGGCATTGAGGCAGTTAAAAGCTCGAACGAGAGTGGCCTCGTGTATAATACGTTTGCGCAGTCCTTTAACGCCCTTAAATGGGAAGGCTGCGCCCAGGAAGCGCAGAAATGTTGCCTGGAGCAGCTCGCCACTAGCATGGCTAATAATTTGGGTAGATTTTTGAATTAGCCTAGGCAAGATAGAGTGTTAATTGTTATAGAACATATGTTACTGTTCGGTTTTTTACCTTTATTTTTTGTCTGTTGATGACTAAATACAGAATGTAGTTCAAAAGCTCTCAAGTCCTGTCCGTGTCGTTCTATCACAGCATTTTGCCTCGCGTCGGGTGGCAAAGGTAACATTTTCGACGTTTGTTTTTTTTTTTTTTTTTTTTTTTTTTTAATATTTCTAATGCCAAATCACACGATGCAATCCAGTACATTTGCTTCGCATTAGTAGTGGATATTACGGCTACGAGGTCTAGACTAACTAGCAGTCATCATCTAAAGGTAGCGCAAAGCGATCCTGGACGAATTTTAAAATTCAAAAGTGAAGATGCTAACAAGCCATTTTAGCTAGTACTTTAAGGTGAAGATTCTCTGTCACCTATCGCTATATAGAGTCGTGTAGGAAACTTGCGGCCTCGACCAAAAGCAGATAATTCGTTTGAAGAACAAGAGAAACGCTTCCCAATGGCGTGTGGCACATGGTTATAAGCAAACGAAAAATAAAAAATAGCCAACAAAAATCTGCCATTTTTTTTTCATCCATATATATTTCGGTTGCTCGGCAAATTGTAAGATACCGCTAGTAGCAATTCAGGTTTTATCGGTAAAAAAGAACCGTTTTACTTCTCTGTTGAAAAACAGGCCGCCGTAAGTGAGGAGCAAGTTAGAAGTGACGCAGTCCTACAGAGCCTTTTGCGTTCACAACCTTTAAATCGACATCTATGTTACGAGACATACTTCCAAAAGCCGAAACATAGTATTATTTCTGCTTTATTTATCTGCTGACTAAGAGTTCAACTACTATTCTAGACAGAGCAGCTAGAAATAAAACAATGCGTCAGAGTTGTCTCCATGCCTAACCAGGACAACGAAGACTATATGCACATGCTGCTAATAAAAGTTTCGACGCTGTACCACAAATTTTTGGCCTGATTGCAAACATACTAAAACAATATATATTGAAATACGATGAAGTAGACATGGCGTATTAAAAAGAGCAACGAGGACGTTGTACTCAGCGCATAGATGTTACGACAGATGGTTTTACTACTCTATCCCACGTTTTTCGATTATGTTCGTTCTATGTCTCCTTTGAACTATCTTAATAGACATAGTGTATCTTGACGTTCTTGGGCGATTTATGTCTTTATTTTGACTCTTGTCTTGTTGACTATTAATTGGAGATGCAAAAGGCGAGAACCGGATCACTCAGCATCAGGAGAGAACTGCGGCTCTAATCGGATGACTCTTTTTATCCGTTTCTTTGGGACGACTGGCGATGCGGTCAGAGAGAATAGTAACTGGGCGGGGTGACACGATGAGTTGATAGGGGCTGGTTTTTATGAAGCAAGTGAAAAATGGCTAAGCGAAGGGGGTCCCTCAACTTCAAAAGGCGGAAATGACTGCTTCGGTCCTATTCCTTAGCAATAGTCATCGAGACGTCAAGTGGCAATTTGAGGCGCCATTTCGTACCGTCGTAGACCTCAGGAAAAATGTTTGTTTATTTGGGATCATAGTGAAAAGAGATGTCTGTACCCATAACAACGATATATAGTTACTGCGTTGCAATGCATGGATGCTGGGGCAGAGTCATTGTAAGTTTACAGCAGCTGCTGCTGCACAAAAGTACGGGTACAGCGTATGATAGGCGACCATTTTACATCGCTAAAATTCATCTGTACTGCTTCAGTCACATCAATAAGCGAGCGTTACGAGCGATTCCTATATTCGCATCTGAACTGTTTCCAAACGAAAACTATATCTCTGCTATGAAATATTTGAAGGTAAGTGGCACCATGAAAAAATAATTAGAAGCACCTTTGGGTTCCGAATTTAAAAGAAGGCTAGGAAGATTTTGCCCGTCATAGTAGACTATTTCGAATTTCCATACACGTCCGATTCATGTTGAGCGGTCATCGGAGATAGAAGTTAACCTGGTTTATATTTAGATTTATTTCTGCCACCGTGTATTTTTTCATAATCTAGCTAGGAGCTACACATCTAAGAGTTCAGAACATTTAGCAGTAATATTGGAATTCATACGGCTATCTTGCTTAGCCTCTCATGTCGTGGTTCACTAATTTTGTCAAATCAATTTTATTGAAATTGGTCAACTGTCGATAAATCATCAGCATCCACATAGATTCAAACTTGAATGCCCTCTAAATATATTACTCAGATAAAATTATGGGGCCTATAATATATTATTAATTTTTTCGAAGATTTCAGCTAGAACGTCGTATCCGCACTTCGTAGTTAAATACGCTGAGCACAGTGTGGCTAAAAAGTTTATGGCGTTTACGGATGCTAATTTTTTTTATATAAAACACTCTTGTCCTATATTCTATTAAGCATGAGCCTACGAGACGTGGCAAAATGGGGCCGAATTTTTATTTGTGTAAACACAATGCGGGTTTCAAAAGCAAACATTGAGATTCAACTACTTGAGTGCATTATGTGTAGACGCAGCATTGGCTACCGATTCTCAACGACCAACACTCAAAATAAGCAAATCAATGAACACGCAGGATAATTTTTAAGAATGACGATAATACGTATATTAACTTTTATGTGCCTTTTTTTCATTTAGTAAACAAATACAAAGTGTAGGCCCTCGAGAAATTAGTCAAACCGAATGTTGCTACTTTGACTGGGTCGTCGTCAAGACATCGCTTGATGTCGGTGGGAGGGAACAGAAGGAAAAGAGAGAGGAAGTTCCAATGAATTGTCACATATCTCAATTAATCGCAGTTCTACGGCTTGTTCAGTCTAGAAAACCCGCCACTTGTCCAGTAAATAGGTGAAATGACGTCTTCAGCGTTCTCTATCGTTGCCCTGCAGTTGGTCGCAGCTTAAGTTGGCATTGCTCAAGAAAAACGATCTGTTTTCCACGCCCTTACTCGAAATCTATATATTATAGGCGCTATGGTCTTGGTTTAAACTTGTTACAACAGATGTAATTAATTGCCTAGCGGGACAGCTGCGGTTACTGCTATTGTTTATAAACGAAAGTATGCCATCTAATCTGTAATTAATTGTATTTGGTAGAAAAACTTGGCGGCAAAACATTTTCTTTTATAGATTATGCTTAAACCTAACAGAAAGGCATCCAGATATAATTGAACTATGGAGGATATGCGAGTTCACATATGCTTCTTTCGTTCACAATGCAACTAGGCATAGGGTCCTCTTTCGTGAGTCTTCTGTTGTTTACCATTACTTCTTGCTGACCAACGTTCGACTGACCTGTAATGGCTTAACGAAAGTCATGAGCAAACGTTTATTCAACACCACTCCTTTGATTGAAGAGCAAAACAATTCGTGTTTTTATTGTTTGGGTTGTTGTCGCGTAAAGTTGATTCCACTTAGCAGTGGTCTACATGATCTGCTAATAGAAGACTACAAGATTTATTTAGACAGGTCAAGAAAGGTTAAACGAAAAAAACATTAAGATAGGAATTCTATTAAAGGTGATAACCGGTCCTGAAATGCTGATCTTATCAATGTCACTCTAGCGAACTTCCAGAGAAATATAAGTACCTAGCTTAGTTATAGTGATGCAGCCCAATTGTATAACTTTTTTTGAGAATTACAGGCAGCTCTAAGGATGGCCTGTTTTGCCCAGCAACGTGGGACGGCTGGTCCTGTTGGAAGGACACTGCAAATGGGACAACAGTATCTCAGTTTTGCCATGACCATGTCTATCAACTCACAAAAAAATCATTCTGCGAAAGTAAGTATATTTCTTGACATAATTTTGTTGATGTTTTTTTAATTTGGGTTGAGTTGCAAGGTGCATACGATAGATTAAAATGTATTTCCGATCTATCTAATTGATTATTGTACAGAAGGTTAAACATCTTTACTATACTCATTTATCAAACTCTTATCATTATCAAGCTCCTCCAAACCAAGTCTTGATAATGTGTTTTAGTCGCTAGATAGCATTAGAAACCTCTTCCACTTGCTTATTTTTGGCGACACAGAATTTCAAAAACGCATATTGTGGATACTTAATAAACGAGGCCGCTGCAGTGATCTGTTCTGGGTATTTTCTACCACCCGTGACATTTATAAACGGCTTTTGTACTATACGCACTCCTCAAAGATCTTCCCAGATACAGATCCCTGATGAAACATGATTATCGTATATCTAAAGGGCCGTCTTATTTAATTGCGTATATGAATACTGTTATGTTAACTATATAGCCATTTATACAGAGCATTAGTTTGAATTGGATTCATTTGCTGCAACTAGCTGACCATCTATTCAATTGATAGGTTATTGCAAAAATCATCTAGGCACCCCATATTTGCACGGCCTTCCATAGATTTTGTAGCCGGCTTTTTAAAGCTGGTGTTTGAGCATCAATAGACAAATGAATTTTGATTTGGTTTTTATGGATGACCAAGCAGATTTTTGCTTTACAAAAAATTACACGTCGCGATATTTATAGGCGGCTGCAAGTGTAGCATCTTATCAATTCATTTGGTCGACGGTCTACCTCTTATGGAACACACTTACCCCATATTTTTTCAATACGCTAGACACTTTAATATTGAACCTTACCGCCTGTAGTACTGCTTTGAAGATTGGGCACATATAATACAGAACCAGCCATACGAAGTTTAATTCCATTCATTACCTAATAATTTCATGAAGGTCGAATTTAAAGCAACTCCTTTACACGAACTTTAATATCCTTCTTCTGTGGGCTTAACCCTAACTCAGCCACTCGTAAGCATCGAACCTCGATACTAAAGACAGCACCTTCAGTTAATTAAAGAAGGTATTATCCATACGCTGTCCATACATCGATATCTGGACATTTTATCGGGTCCTAATGGGGCCACCAGAACATTGTGTTGTTTTTCGTCTGCCTCTGAGACGGATGCCGGAAGGCCTTGTCTGAACCCCTAATGTTTATACCTAGGTTCCTTGGATGATGCCGCACCCCGTCACGTTTTGTTTGCTTTATCCTGTTCGAGCGGACCTGCTATTTCTGCATGGGTGCAATACATCTGAAAATTTGTCATATATTATGGTGCCATACCTCCTAATTGTGTTTTGAAGGAACTCTAGAGAATGCCCTGTTTAAGCGTACAATATAGAATAGAAACGTCATGTCCCTCGGCTGATCTGGAATTTTAGGACGCGGTCTACATAATACTGAGTATTGGGTTTCGATAACTGAAAATTTCAATTTTGCGATTAAGCATTTAGCATTTCACAAGTTGAACGGCTGTTGGCTGATCTAGAAACGAAAAAAAAAAAATTCTTCTTTTGTGTGGTGCAACTCTGTATAATGTAAATACTGTGGGATCTACTTGGACGCATTTACTGAAACGAACATTTTAACAGACAACACCACTTTTTACTTAACGGACGTTAGTGTTTATAGATCGACACGTTACCGTTGAATGACTGCGTTATTCTATAATACATACTCTACAATGAACATTAGCGCTTAAGTAATAATCATTTTTGTCAAGCCATGCTCTCTTTCTCGTATAAAAAAAAAGTAGCTGTTAATATGGTACCAGATATTATGTATGCTTTGGACCACGCCACTGCCTTTTAAAAATTTACTTTACAGAAATGTTTGCAGCACTACTGAGAAGATGGTGGACCAACTCAGGCCGTATAGAGACTCGATACGTTTTGTGTTCTTTTTGCATAATTATTTTATAGGTCCTAGTTGTATAGTTTTATAGTTTTTTATAGCTTTCTGGCTTAGAGAACCTGCTGGATAATAATGTTTAGGTAATTAATAGGCTATAAAGTTTGCCTAAAAGTTTTTTAAATTTAGAGCAGCTCAGAAATAGTTTGTTTCGGCAACTTTCAGACAGGACGAATGTTTGCTAGGTTATAGGTATTTAGCAAAGATGTATGTCTAGTAGTGCAGGTGCGTATGTTACCTGCGGCGGAGTCTGATTTAAGTACAAGAGACGTTCTGTCCTACCTCAGTTGCGCCTTACTAACGACGCGTTAAGGGAACGCGTCAATGTAGCGCCTGCATTATAGAATGAATACGTTTTAACGACAAATTTTAGCACTTATTATCGCTTTGAGCATAGTAACTACAGATATTTGTTTCTCCTCAGTGGCGGCATTTTGTCCAGAACGGGGCTTACAAATCACGCAGTTTTCATAATAGCTTTATCTTCTCCGGTTTTCAAAGAGACAGGGGAATGCCGAGCAGAGGAATTTCGACGAGACTGGTTATTGATCTTGTCGGTGTCGTTACCTGCAGAAGGGGTTGAGTTTCCACAGAGGTCTTATCAGCGAGCGACCGCTCCTCTTATTTTTGTCGAAAACACGATTCGTCTCACATGGTCTGAATCTTGCTTCTTATTTGTCAGGTTACAGCATTCCTTGTCGTTATCCATATGTTAGCGAGTCTACACTGGTGCACTCTTCTTTCGGGCTTAGTGCACGAAAGGCGCTAGTGGAGAAAAGCTAAGGCGCTCATAACAAGAGAGCACGTTAGCTGCATTACTGGCTACGTGAAAATGTAACAAAGTTACAACATATCTGCCCTTCATATATTTCATCATATTATTTCACATCCCCACTTATATGCTCACCTATATGTTCCCTTTCTTTTTAAAGTATACTATATATATATTATATATATAAGTGTATTTGTGTGTGTGTGTGTTAGAACACCTTTTCTATTCATTTATTTTGATGTCTGTGTTGCAGAGAAATCGCACAAAACGTGTGAAGCCGACGGTTTCTGGCAAAAACGGCAGGGTCGAGAATACACAGTGTACAACTGTGGCACCGCTGAGGTAAACTACACAGCTAAATGTACCCTAACGGCTTCTACCTTAATCCTTAAAAAAGGTAGTAAACACTTTTTGAGACACTCTGAAACCTAGCGGTATTAGCTTGAAATAGATGGTTAGCAATATATAGACTAGACTGGAATTTGTATTTTGCATCTCTATTAATTGTTAGTTGTTTTAAAGGATACATTTTTTGAAAATGTCCATACCTAAAGCACCTGACGCGTCCAGCTCCTGCAACACGTAAAGAAACGTATTGATTTTTGTTATAATTACAGCTCAAAGCTGAAAGCTCAAAGATGTAAACGAGTAACGATGGAAGTCAGACTATATGTATATTTAATTTTGACGTAGAACTACTATAGTATACGATGTGAAAGTACCGATAAATTTTATCGTCGCTGTTTATCTTGCTTTCCTTAGTTGAACCGAGAAAAAGATTTCCATAATCTTTGGGAATTCTATTAATGTCTGTATCGTTGGTAGATTTCAGGAGGCCCATATTTTTTAATTATAAAAGAGTTCTCGTGCTTTGGTCGTTTTGTTAGCGTCTTATGTTGTTAGCTGGGTAAAGTTCTACTTCCACCGACTTTATGAACTTTACCCTTAGCTAGAAAGCAGTTGAAAGCATGTACACAAGTTTTTTGTTCATTTTATGAAGGCTAAATACATGACAAACATTTAGTTTCCTGAATGTTTTTTTATTTTTCCTGTTTGACGTCTGTCTTATCACACTGTGGCACTATGAGCTCAGTTTAGTGACGATTTGCCCATGCGACGAAATTAGCAGTCGCCCGGTATAGAAGAGAGCAGACTGTGGCTCCGAAATTTCCAATAAACATTTGAACTTTCGAAGATAATTGAAATCAGGACTGAGATTGTTGTTCCAAATATATTTGCTTTTATCTGTTTAGTCCCAGTGAAATACCGGGAGAAGTAGGATATGTTCGAGATTTTATCGACCGGATCATAAACGATGTTTGACCCTTTTCAGCACCAATATGACGCCTATGGTTGCATGTAGTAACGCGGTTTTGCTATCCCTAATCAAGCTCGTTATCTTTCCACAGTACATTCACCACAGATAAAATGGGTATTACGTATTGGTATCTAATTTTAATTAATGGGTGGTTATAGTCCAAATAATAGACATATATAATAAGCCGAGAAGCGTCTGGTACTGTACGGACAAATTTCCATATAACGAGCACATTCCTGTGTCGCCTAGAAATATTATGATATCTTATCTGAAGCTTTAGAATATCGGTGCAAACAGTGCAATGGGAGTCCGGAGGGAGCACACATTTTTATAAATATCCATAGGTAGATAGGTATATAACTGCTCGTATTTGAAAGATCGGTTAAAAGTAGAGCCCGCAAATCGACGAAGACTTCACACAGTTTACTTGCTTACTTTTACTTATTAGGACCGTGTGTTATTACGTCCATTTAACGTAAAACTTCATTACCTAAGGTCTAGCTCGAAAATTGAGGCGCTTTTCTTTTTTACTAGTTCACGACGATAGACAGAGAGACGGACAGACAGACAGACACGGAGTAAATACTCAGCTAGTATTATCTGAGACAACGCTCAGTACCTTAACGCGTTTGTGTGGTTACATTCCGAAATTACTTTACCTACTAGCTTTTTGCCTCTGACGAAGGGCGAGGTAATGCGGGTGGCAAAAGAATTCTTTTTTAGAGGCTGAACTTGAAACGCAGTTCTATGCAGCAGAGACCGAAATTAGAACAAGCTCATAGAGCAGAATAGGCAGTTTCGAATGATACATGAGCAAAGGGCCTTTTTTTCACGTATATCTGAACTTCAACGAGTTACGCTGCTAACTTGATTAACATCTACCTCTCGCCGTTTTTTCTTTAAATTTTTCAAAGTTTTTCGCCGCTTTCTATAAAAGTACTAATATTTCTTTAAGAACTATCTGCCTTCGACTTTGTGCCATATCCTCGCTGTACAGATTTTTCCAAGTTTAATAACACATTAGGTGGCATACCCCTGAAACTATGTTACTGATAATAACTTACACAGTACGAGGTAGTGCCCCAAAAAGTAAAATTTTTACGTATGGGTGATTTATATTTTTCCAGCATCGTCACTTAGAAGTATATCTCAGTATTTATCTTCATTCGCTTTCGGCGGTTCTACTATTACCAACGCTCGTCATCTTTTCACTATACAAGTAAGTTGAAATTGTTTAGGAAGATGATTGACGACTAGCTGACTACATTAAACAGCTATAATATTATTTTCTACCTTGTTTATTGTTGGGCCTTCATATAAAGAACTTGAGAGAAAATAAATAAAGGTTCCTTAGTAAATTCACAGGTGTCATCAACTTTTAATTGTGTACTGTGACTTAATGAAATGACAACGTCGGCAAGCTATCTTATAAAACTATGTTTAACCTTAACCACATGTGCATAATATACTCGTATAATTTTTCCCATTTAAAAATTTCCCTGGCCAGAGTCCACTTTTTGATGGCCTTTTACACGATTGGTTACATACATGGTCAAATCCGCGGCTAGTCAGCCGATTATGTGTCTATGTTTTTTGCGGTGTAAGACTCTTCTATTACTACAACTTTCTATTACTACGATAGCAACTCTAAAAAAAAAAAGAGGAAAAAGGCATGTTTGCTTGCCAACAGGAATAACGCTAATAAGAAACAGGTTAATCACAGAATTGCTTGATTCGCTGTGGATATAAAAATCCACCCATTAGTCACTAAAATGTCCTACCTTAAAAAAACAAAACATCGCCGATCTGGTAAATACTTGGCAGGCCGTGGGTCTTCTGATCAAGACAGTGAAATCGAGGGGTTACGCACGTGCCGCCAATGACATTGAAAGTTGGACGTGATTAATACCGCATACGACGAGGAACTCATAGGTGGTGGCTTCAAACAATTAAGCCCGTAAAATACAAGCAATACTAATCGATAGCAGGCCAGCGAAGCAACGGACTGTGGCACGCACAAATTTTGTTAAGTCTATATCATGCGAAAAGATCAACTCTAACAACAATGACGAGATCATCCACAAGTGTCTGCTGCTTGTCGCCCAGAAACGCATATCAGAGAAAGTCGTTTAGTTAGGATGATGTTTTTTCTGTAGGAAACAGAAGATAATTGTGTGAAAATGGTAAGCGATTTCACGGTTAGTATGTTGTTTTTACTAGTTTATTTTAAAATATGATTAGAGCAATTGATGTAAAATATAGGGGGGGGGGGGGGGTGCTATTCCTAAGAGGTGATTCCCACAGTAGTAGCAGCCAAGGGCACAAAAATATATGGGTCTAAGTAAGGATGTTGACATTATAAGGTTGGAAAAGGTTTCCGCGCTTAAAGGACTTTTCTTTTCCGTTCTCTTTTACTTGTTGTTTTCTTCTGATATACCGCTCGAAAACGCTCTATCAGCGTAATGTAGCAATATTGGGTTAAGAACGGATTTCCAACCTGAAACTTCTTCTCATTCTCACCTTCTGTATAATTTCTGCATTTTTTCGAAATCAAGACATTACCGAAGTAACTCGAAACATTCGCCTTGTGTACCATAATGACGCTATGGCTAAAACGACTGCTTGAGAGTAGTTTGTAAGCAGCGTCCAGGACATAAAGGATGCCGCTTCGGCTGACCGTTTAAATTTGATGTCGAAGATGACCATTGGAAGGCTCTTCAGAAGAAAAACGTCTTGGGAATTCGCTGTCTTCATTAACAACGGATGTGTGGCTGCAACTAGAAAATGGGCTGTAACCACACATCCATCATTAACTACCTCAGATTTTTTCTATGTGATCTTAGAGCTGGGGTATGTCATGAGCACTCTGAATCCAATAAAGTGTAACAGTTTAACGCTGCATGTTGACACTTCAATTATCACGCTGACTAATTCTTGCACAGAGTTAATTATTAGCTATGATGACGAGCGCTCTGGCTTTTTTTAGGCTATTTAGGTTTTAGGCTTAGTAGAAGAGTCAAGACACAATCCCACCGGACCTTTATTAAAAAAAAAATTATGCTTTGCGAGAGTCTGATTCGCTGGCAGTTGCTTCTAATAAACCAGACATAGTGGTACGCTTATTTGATCCAATTGCATTGAGCCAACGAGGCTACTTGAGGGAAAAGATTCGGCAAACGAGGTCACGTCGTCGTGCTTAATCACAATACGCGGCCGCACGCGGCAAATATCGACAAAGTTACCCGTTTGAGCTTGAAACGGGAGGTTTTGTTACATCCTTCATTTCGTCTAAACCTCGCGGCGTTAAATGTTTCGCTTACTGGACAATAACTCGCAGACTGAAAGCTCAAAACATCGTTGGAAAACTTTGGGACAAAATCCCCTACTTTGTGGTAGGACGGCATACGTCATTTTGTAAGAAGATGAGTGGAACATACGTAGCATTATAATCTGTTCTTACAGAAAGAAAAAATGTGGTATTATCCATTCCGCAAATGAAAGGAACGCGGGAACTTTTTTTTTCAGCTAATATTTGATATTCGTAAGCAGAAATCGAGCGAATGGCGCACAGTGTACTCCTCATGTACGTCAAAGTCCTGGTCATGCGTTTAATACAGCTCAACTCTTGCATCTCTGCGTTCAAAAACTAATTTTGGTGGCTACGTACAGATGTATAATGTGTTTGTTTGTATGTATGCAGAAAAAACGTACTTTAGTGTTTTGACTATTAAAATTTAACGTACCAACGTTCTTGTTTGCAGCAACGGTTAGAGTTCGGCTATTATATTTTCTGTTTTTTTTCTCATGAACTTGTTGAACTTGCGCCGTAATAAGAGCGTTAACTAAAACACATATTAAGGTCGAAAGTTAGCCTATTTTGATCCGCAATATTGTCTGTCTCCCCTGTGCAAATTATTTAGAGGACCCTTATCATAGAAAGCTTGCTAAATTACAAGAAGCAGCTGGGCAAACTTCTTCGTCAAGATGCGGGGCCTGATGTTGTAACTATACTAGGATCATTGCGATGCACCAGGTCGTCCACCATGACAATGAACTCGGTTTCGGTGGCCCCGTTTTTACACGGAACAGTTTTCCGCTATAGAACCCGATAGCTAGTAGTGCCTTGTCAGAGTATGGCCCGATATGTGCATTGCCACATTTATGGTATTAAAAAGAAAGGCTGGCCGTGTCAGTTCTCCGTGGAAAGTTTGGCGCAATAAATTATTCACCAATTCAATATGCCGCCTAATCTATTGTGTTTATGTGAATGTTGATTCTTTAATATTGCAGCTTCCGTTACTTTTATACTTTTCGGCACTTCTCATAGCTTACACATTGATACAGTTGATGTCCGCCATACTTAAGCGTCTATTTTGCCAGCGGATTTTATTTGCTGCTATTTGATATGCTTGAAGTTGGCTACGCTAAAGCAATACCGCTCATACTGAAGTGCTCTTTCCCGTACATGACAATACGTTATTCGAACGCCACACAATTTCGAAAATCGCTCGTATATTTGCATGCGAAGTTACTGAAAGGTTGATTTGAACTTTATGGACAGCATACGTTCTTCTGCTGTCTGTGTTTGGGAGGATATTTGCAGTTAACATAGCGCTCTAGACTTCGTCCACGATTTGTTTGCTTGATCTGGAGCTAAAACCATTTCGTGTCAATGCTCCGTCACTGGCCTACTCTGATTTGTTTTCCTTGAGTCTCTGCAGCAGCATACGGGCTGTTTCATGTGAAGCCTGAGTAATGACCGGTCGACGACACAGTGCCTCTCTATCATTACGAGAATCGAGCATCGACCCAATAAGAAAAATAATTACACTGACCGAACAACCAATTTTCACAGCAGAGATAGTTGTGCGAGGCGTAAAACGCTTGCTTGAACCGTATTTTTGTCGAAAATTGTATTCACAGTTCAACGTTCCGAACGAAACGGACCTTCAATGGTGCGGTCGTAGCTTTATTTATTCTTAACTTATTGCTCCGTTTGACCAGTTCAGACCAGAGACGAACTTTGACTTACTGCCACGATTACTGGTCGAACATGTCCCTGAAGTTAATCTGATTGCCATGACCAATGGCAAATACGTATTTCTATGGGACGTTTTTATAAATATACGTATCAAAAATCCATGATTATTTGCATGGAATGTACCATATAACCTATATCGAAAAAGTTATGCATACAGTCTACCATTTATATACATATAAACAGAAGACTGGCAGAATTTTAAAGGTATTGATAAACGTCAGATATTTTAGCGGTAGTCCGTTGTACTTCACATCGCGTATAACTCACTATGGAATAGACAAACAAATGTGTCGAGGTTTGTCAGCTTTGAACATTTTTTCGAGCGAAGTACATTCAAGCTAGTTCTCGAATTTAGACTTCGTCGCAAGCTTCTATATTTATTAAACAAGCGCATTATCCTGTGTAGTAGTTGGCTAATATAAGTTTGCATTATGTACATCACTATAGATTGACATTGTCCTTCAGCTGTTTCAAACTAATAAAATTACATTAGTTAACAACATAATCTATTATAATAGACATTAAGTGATTCTACAGATTTATCACATCGTTCGACTGTCTCATCAGATGTAGCGAAGTCAGCGGAAGTTCTAGCGTTGCCGTGCTACCTACAATTTATGCGCTGCCTTGCTTCTGTTGGCCTATTTGGTTGGGAACCGACAGCGACCGATTATGTAGCTAGGTCAATGCTGCATCCCTATCAAATGATCGGATGCGACACCAGCCTCCCAAGTCGTCCACATCTTGTTGCAGTCACTTACTCTTCTAGGTGCGTACCCTCTGTTCACGTGGCACGTTTTTTCTATGCTACAATCTACTTTGCGATTTGCTTAGTCCGCTTTTTGCCACGACGTTTACTCCTCCTTGTACCTACAAAGCGTAGCATTTGCTCATCGAATGTGCACGACAATTTGGTGGTAATGCATTTCGTCGTACTACTCGGCTGACAGGCCACTGTTTAGCCTGCTGGGCCGATCGACTTCTCTGGCGGGCCAAGGACCGAAGGCCGAGGCTGTCGGCCTCGGTGCAATTCTTGATGTACACCAGCAGCTGTACAACTGGCGCGCGGAGACACGCACTATCATGGCGCACACTTGTGTTTACGTGTGTGTATTTGCAGGTGGTGCTACTTTTTGTACCTCTTTCGTTCTATTTGTAGACCACTGAGAGCCTTCCTGCTTGTCCATCACACCGGCTGAAGCTAACTTGAACATTATTCGAAAAAAGTAAATACATGAGATCGGGGTGCCTTTGAGGCTTTCCGGGTTTGTAGTTGCATTACTTGAGTACATATGTGGTAATACCAGGGGCCTGGCTAGACCGGAACGGTCCACCTACCCTTTATAGAGCCAACTGTCATGTTTCCTGTTTAACTACCGCTACGTTCTCTGATTCTGTGTTTGTTTCTTATATACTAGAGTAAAGCATGGTGGTGCTCTCATACCGGTGTTCGACGTTACAACGGCGTCAAGACGAAAATTCATTTGCTCACGCGGCAGTTTAAAACAGATTGCGGGTCCAACATTAATACGTGATCATGTATCGGGGCTCTTTTGAGAAACTCAAAGATTTGCAAGCCTTCTGATATGATCTGTTCCTAAGACGCTACAAATGTTACCTGCAAGATTCGTGTGCATGAATACAATCCAATCAATGATCGACTTTCAGGCGGATCTTTAGAACGACATCCGAGCGAGTGTACTGGAAAAGGTCGTCTGACCCTTTTCACGAGCTATCAGTATTTTCGTGTTCATACTTCTGAATATTCTAATTCGTGCTTCGCTGTTAAAGAGCGTTTTGCGCTCTATTCATTTCATAATTCATTAGAATGTCATATATAGAGGTTGTGAATAATAGGCTTAAAATCAGGCCTTTGACCAAAGTTAGCCCAACTTGGCCAGTCCTTACGAAAAGCCATAAAGCTATTTGACACAAGTTTACTAGTTTGTGGCATTAACGAAATTCTGCGTATTTGTGTTTAGCTTTGAATGGAAAGATCCATTTAAAAGCTGCAGCGGTTACACAGGCGTACACAGCTAAATAGGAATGTATCTCCGATTTTGCATCAGGGGCGAGCATGCATTACAGGCATAAAGGAATGGCATCAGCTTTCGATTCTTGCAGGTTTCCGAAGAGCTGTTCCTTCAGTCTTAGTAAGTTAAGTAGTTCAAGTTAAGTGATTCAAAGGTCCTCGTTCGTATACAAAACATATGCAAAGTTCTACGTGAGAGCGTGACATGACGGTTTGAGATTTGAGAGCATTATAATGGTGGACAAGCAATCGCCGTGGAAGCCGGTCTTAGACATTCGTCCTGAGGACACTCTTTTAATAAGCACTACGTGTAGTGAATTCTGAAATTGAAAACTAGGACTGCCCTAGTTCCCAATAATGGTACAAATGGCTTCTAAAAGTCTATATATAAACTCCAAACGGCTTTTATTTACGTGGAACTGATATACTGCAAAGTAATCCCTATAAAATGTAAATCCGTTCTACCGCACATAATCCAAATTATTGCCGTAAACTGCTGATACAAACATTTAACTTTGTGTTCTGCCCGATTCTTGCTCAGTTGGCCCTAAAATCTTCACGTGTCGACACTTGTTGAAGTCCATTGGCGTCAAGTCTCGAAAACAGCCATGGTATCTATGAGGCCTCTTCAGGCAAGCTATCTACTTTATCGTCTATATGCTTTAGATCACAATGAGAATGCGTAAACACTTCGTACTATTAGAAATAAAATTAGCGGTGTCCACAAAAGTCTACCCGAATCGATGGCGTAGCAGATGCTTGCAGTAGATTATTTGGCATTAGTTACTGTAGTACAGTTGCTTTATAAACGTGGCCGTGTGTCCGCAACGTGCCGTCGTTGCTCAAAACACGCTGAAACTGTACACTGTGACGACATTCATCCAAGCGTCATTCGTAGAATTGTTTTTTTTTTTTCTATCTAAGTTATTTTTATTGTGTTTTCCGAAACGTTCCTTTCTATGATTTCTTAAACAGCATATACATACATTTTTAGGATCTGCATATATATATCTGAAGTATTACGTACTTCATTACAGCTGAGATTCAACTTCAAGCATGGTTCCTCGCAGCATATATGTAAGCTTTAATTTGTTTTTACCATATGGCAAGAGCAGTCACTCAGCAAGAAGTTCAGTCGATAGCGGCGCGGGCTGATTTAAACCTTTGTTGAATTCAGTTCAAGTAGCCGAAGGATAAGTCGCTTTTCCCATTGAATTTTACCGGTCCATAACAATTGTGACGGTGACAGGATCGGTGGAGCACGCTCTGAATAAACACACGCGGAAATATCTACTCCACTAGTTAGATCTGTCGTACACATAGAGTCAATCGGTTGGTGAAGTTAGTTCCATGAAAAAAACACGCATCATTACAGTTCTACTAGTTATAGAAAGCGAGAATGCACAATTTGTTTATATATACAATGCTCCAGTTTTATAAAAATACGTTTTTTATAATCCACAATAGCCCGAACGATTAATAAGCGTTACATACATTCATCACAATTGAAAAATCGTTATCTGCCAACGTTTTTATCTTGCGTACGTACAACTCAGCTTTGTGTTCTCTTCGTAGTTTGATTGTATACCCCGACCACAAATATGAAAGACTCACCAAGTTTCCTCCTGAACTGTTAGCAGTCGAAGTTTTAATAAAGGAGCTTTTTTTTTCATTTTCAAGGAACATCTGACCTCTAACCTGGTATTCGTATTTTTTATAAGCATGGAGACAAATCATACCTGTCTATTTTTATAGCTTTTTTTGAGTACTAATTTCAGCCTGTAACTTTGTTTTAAGGCAACTACGTGTAATCCGGATATTGCTTCATAAAAATGTATGCATCTCTTTGCTACTACACGGATTAGCCACAATCACTAAGGACTATATCTTTACGATGTCCCGTGTATCCAAGACCAATCCTATACCATTAGATCCCGCTGCCACTCTCGTAAGTACAAAACCATTTAACAGTTGTTCTCGATTCAAGCAGCGTTTTGTACAATTTGTAAAATTGCCTGTGTTTTTTGCGATCAGTTATTTAGAGCTGAAAGCAAGGACGCCTTTTGGAGCTCATACGCCTGAAGACGACCTGCATAAACCCATATAGGTCACATGAATGACTTGCTCAGTTATTATCATAATTAACATGTAAATGTTACTTAGGAGTGTTATTAGGTGACATAACGTAGTTTAAAGTTCTGATGAATCGGAACATTGCCTTCAAACGTCCTAAGGTAATGGGAGCAGAAAAGTAGTAGAGGTATGAATACGTAATCAACAAAAAAATTATACACTTGTCAGGCTGCATTTTATCCTATTGGAAGTTTATTTGCAGTGGTCGAGCGGTGAACCAGATCATAGACTATGATGTAAATAGAAATCCCTAGACGAATTTAGGAGCTTGATGATCCTTTGTAGCAATTTTTTCGCCAGTATAAATGGTCAGAACAAGCCCCCGTGCCAGGCGATGTAAAGAAGCGATCCGCAGTGATAATGTTTCCCATTAATCGATGCGTACCTTTATTATATAGTACGATAATGAATCTCCCTTAAAATGTAACCCTCCATTTGCTTAGTAACGGCTGTACACGTACATGGTACTAAGATAAGTTAGCTTACAGCTTTGAGACAATGAAGTGAGCCTAGGCTCGAACGGGTAATGGGGATAACGAACGAAAGGTTTACCTGTTTCGCCCTCCTGCTATATTTAACAAACTAAGAATCAACTATTCGCATTGTTCGCGTATGTCAAGCAGAGAAAATGTTATATTTATCTGAATTACGTACTATTAAACATTTTTTCTTTTTTACACGCTACTGCAATCATAAAGTTTCTGAATAATATTGCTTTTCATTGTACAGATGGTATACTATACGAAATCTGTATTGTCGCCTTGATAACGTCTAGCCCGTAGAAAACGGCCGTGGTATTCTTACACGTATCACTTTGAACGATAAATAGCAGTTGGATATGTTAGAACGAAAGCAAAAAATAACATATTGATGATGAGTTAACGAAAAAACGCATCGGTTGGTGAGAATTGACGTAGCGACCCTTCTGGCCGTTACCAGAAACGTAACTAGCTAATATTGGCGGGCTGGCAATCTGTTACATCTTGTAAAACCATGTAGCTGAGGGCATCTGATCCAAGGTGGCTGAGGGTAAATCTTCTTCAAACCGTCAAACTGTCGCCAATAAAATGCTACATGTAGCCTCCAGTAACATTGCAGATCATGTATACAGTTTTGAGCGTCTGCTTTCGGCCGAACTGCCTAAGGAACGGTCACGTGCGTCACGATAGGTTGGCACCTTCAACAACTTTCCAACTGTCGTTAATAGATGGAACAATTGAAAAGGGACCAGCATATAACAGTCGACTGAAAAACGATGCTAGATTTCATCGAATTTCCGTTTATACAGCATTACGATTTCTCAGTGAAAACTGAAATAGGTCCAACTCATGTGATAGGTACGCGCAGTATTTAGAGAGCTGAAATACCATTTCTTTGTTTTCGTTCAACCAGCCTATCTCTATGGTGAACACGTTTATGAATACAATGTAGCCTGGCTTGCCAGATTGGCTCTGGTAGCTGATCTTTCTAAAAGCTTACCTACAACACTTAAATTCAGCTAAATCGAATCTCTAGATCGTTTTCAACCGTAGAATAATATTAGTGCTTTTCTTTTTTGTTCTCCCGAAGAATCAAACTGACTATCTTCAAAGAAATTATGGCAAGTGTTGAATACATGAGGCCACACTTGGAGCATAGACCTACATATAAAGAGGTGGCTTATCAGACGTTACCATTACCTTTTTAGAAAGGTTCCAAAGGTGTTAGTCGACGTAGGCATCAACAAAATAGAGAAAAAAAAATCGTAACTACTTTAACCTCTCGAATCTACAATCTAAAGCTAAATAAGAGAAAGATACTTCCAGTGCATGACTTACGTGTGTTCGGCTTAAAACGCTACACATCTACGAGGCCATTTAATGACTCATTGGAATCATCTTTAGAAAGCATCGTAAACCCTCATTGAGGTATATCGATGCACCCGAAACTATACTTAACATATTTTTTATCTTTCCAGAATTGCTAGAGTACAACTATTTTTGTCAGCCTGTTGATTGAATATATCAGTCTAATTATCCTAATACAACAGTCGATTTATCATAGAATTCTTAAGACAAGCTATTATATAAGACCTTTATGCGGCAAGGTACTGTGCCAAACACATTGAAAATTCGGTTCAATGGGTCAAACGTAAGCTAGCTATTTAAAACAAGAACAGTGTAAAAATTATGCCCAACAAGCTCTCCTGGTTGAATCGATCCGAACTGTGTTTATAATTAGATTGTATCTAGATGCGGTTTAATTGTTGGGTTTATACGTAGCCATAGAACTATTGCCAATGATGAGCTAAACCACTGAGTTACTATACAGTAGAATGATGAATTTTTTACTTAAAAGGAACGAACGTTAGGCGACCCATTTCAGAGATGAGCAGCTTACGTACGAAACTCAATAGTTTTAACAGAGCTGACCTTGTTTAGATGGAAACTGGGTTTGGCGAAATTCATCCTTGTCGTATCGTTCTTGCTTGAAGTAACAAAGAAAAAAAACGAGCCCAGCTAGAGATGGCATTCCACGAATATGCTAGATGAATCAGCAATGATTATATACAATTCAGTACATTACTGATTATAGATAATAACCATTAGATTATAATAAATACATCTACTCGCCCACAGCACTGATGCGGAAAATGGCTCTTCTAAATTGAACGTTGTTCTTAAACTATGTTTCTAGACTGTATCTAAATAAAAAAAAAAATTCTTTTGACATGTGTTACTCCTAAGATTTATGCTTATTCAGTATAACCACCTTCCGCCCCGATTACAACTCAGTTTATGATTTAAACGATTTACTAGCCCTTTTCAAAACATTTCTTTCGTATAACTTTTCAATATTAACTGTGCGAAATTGATATTATTATTAGATATACAAAATTCTAACGAACTAAAGATTAGGCTGGTAAAAGGCCAAAAATCCGCAAAATGCAGGCACTCAAAACGGCCGAAAAGTTCAAGGTGTGCAAAAAACTTCAAAAAAAAAGAGCTAACCAGAGGAGCGTCTTCGGATCTAACCACTAACGAATATTCTCCTCCATAAAACGGCCGTTAATTTCTGTGTCAGAAGGCGTATCAAAAATGATTTTTTGGTCTATTTCGTTAAATTTTCGAGCGCTTGAAATCGAAACCCTATCAAGGATTTTTGGTCGTGCCGCATGCAAATTTTTCTTAGGTTCTGCAAAAATTTTTGAAAACGATCAATTTCGGGCAAGAGATGGGGTTTGTGGTTTGCGTTGCGCACTCGTAAACCGACATCATTTAGTTAACTCCTTTTTGACAAAATAAAATCTGAAAGACTGCATAATAACGAACCCTAAAAAGCCGAATTCTAAAATCGACGCGTTTTTACTCTCCACAGCAACGTTTTTTATTTTCTGCAAAAAGAAATGGCGTTCGCTTGGCACCGAAAATAGCAGCGGATTTCGAAAGATGGACTGTCAAACTTTTGCCCAATTTAAATACACCACCTTGCTATTCACATAGTGAGCATACCTAAAGCCCAACCTCAGCTATTCAGAGCTCCGAATCAACCCCTTTATGATGTGATTTTCAAAAAAACCCGGCGTCGCTGTCCTCGAAAGGGGGCCAGGAGCTGTCGGAGTCTTTGTTTCAACTCTGATCATAATCAATCATTCAACTTATACAAGGGGCTGATATGAAAAGGTGACTGTTGTCCTAGAGTAAAAGGTACATGAGTGCGCGTTGGTAAAATGACTATCGACTCCCATCAATACCATTTGAGCGTTGGGCAATGCTCGCCCGTCAATTTTTTTTGTATACTATGCTCCTCGTATATTGCTCGAGTACTTGAGCCTGTAAAGCTTAAAACCAATGAATTGTCTACAAAGTCAGATTGCATGGCAACATGGCTGCGTGGCATTAGTATACAGGAATAATTCCAGTAGCGGAAGCGGAGTTGGACGTAACTGCAATTCAACTTTATTTGGTATGCATCTTTCAAATAGGAACTGAAGATCGCGACTTCTGGCTTTGTAAGTGAAGTCTGTCGCGTTACGCAATACGCATATACAGAGTTAAACAGAGACCCACAGCAGCAGTGATACGAGTCTTTTTCTTGCAATCCTTCGTTGGCCTTTTTTTATTATTGCGGTTTCCCATCTAATCTTTTTTGATAATAATATCTTGATAGCCAAACTATCGCTAACTTTAGAAATGACGCCATCATACAATAATGCTTTACGCGTTCATGTGTATAAACTAAGACAATCATGGTTCTATAGCAGACTTTATAAAGTAGATCTTAATGAAATGACATCCTTTGGCGGTATTTCAGTGGCTGTGTCGTTCACTAACGTTAATTATCAAGTATCTGCGTATGTGTCAATACGCCTGGATGTTCTGCGAGGGCTTCTATCTTCACAAGATCCTCGTCACGGCTTTTAAAGAGCAAAAGTCGATGCTGCCATTCTATGCATTCGGATGGGGTTAGTGACGCCTATTCATTTGAAGTGCAATGCATCAGTGCGTGTAGTACCGTGATTGGGAGCATACCCATTGCAAAAAAAGAAACATTTTTATCATCGGTTTTCGTGCTTTTCTATAAAAAAATAATGCAGATACATATATATATATATATATAGGTTTCTATACACTTTATCTTATTACTATGAACATGTATCAGTCACACCCACATATGGGGACTGGACTGGTGAAGGCGTTGTGTAGGTTTAAACAAAGAGAGAAACATAATCGTTAGCATGTAGCAAAAGTAATCTTTGTTAGTGACAAGTATATGATTTATTTGTTGTTCTCTACTTAAGCTGCGCCACCTTTGTTACTACTATCAATTGTTCACAAGTTAAAGATGGCAGGTTTATAACAGCGTATACAGAAAGGCAGACTACCAGTGCAGAGAATATAGCATCTTTAAAATGGAACGCAGCCACTGATGCCTTCTTAGGAGGCACAACATTCACAGATGGGGTAAATTTCGGTTTGTGGGTAAGAGAAAGGTATAGGCTGACAACTATTCGTGTATATCTAGATGGCTACTTAAATTGGTTGAAACGAGCTGGGAAGGATGTCCGAGGTAAGAAAGAACTCGAACGTAGCGAGCGTGTAAATCAAATGTCTCTTTTAAACGCGAATAAAGAATTGCCAGTTTTCCCTTTAATCCCGTTTCAGCTACTTTTGCGACCTGTGAGGATAATGTTTGTTAAATAATTTTACAGTTATGCCAGCCTTCTTTCTCATTATCTACGGCTCAATGGTCTATAGAGGGAAGAACACGTCGGAGTAAGTATTCTCAATGCATCGCTTTTATTGTGCCTAAACGATGTCGTATTGCACGTATATGATTGTTTCAAAAAGCAAACTAGATAGAAGCTTAATCAAAAACTATCTCATTTAATAACATACAGCGTGTTATTGGCCATATAAATCCGCAGTTTGTGGAGAAGGAACCTCACTTCGAGAACTCACATCCCACTTCACACATTCTTCTATTGTCCGCTAAAATGAACGTATTGCCATCAATTGTCGGATTACTTTTCGGCAAGCACTGGCCTTTTTTGTGCAAAAGATGACTGAGAACGTAAAAAAAGAGATTGCTTAATCAACTGCAATCAAGAGAAAGTATATAGGTCCGTTCTCAATAAAAGGTCATATTTAAGTTCAGCTCTATATTTTTCGGTTGTATTATTCGTTAAGAATATGTTGAATTAGTACTAATGCGGTGTAGCACAGCGGGTTACAGATTTAGCAATTATTTGATTAGATCGGGGTACTGCATACATCGCGAACGATGAGGATCATATCGTCCTTGCTTGGCCTTTTATCGCATTTGCGTTTTTGTATGCGTCTCGTTTAATCACTGCCTGTTACGTTTCCCTTTCAGCTGCGAGGTGACCGGTGGCTGGCTTGAATGGGCCCACATGGCACCTAGTCTCCTCTGTCTTGTGGTGGGTATCATTCTTGTTAACTGTATTGCGTTATGATAAACAATGCCGCTATTACAATAGCACACAACCAGCAGAAAACGGCTCGCTAAAACAGCAGAAGTGACGACAACGGCAGCAGCAGTTGTAGCAGCAGCCAACAATAGTAACTGTCATTCTATTACTGATAGCCGAAGTAAGCAATTAATGCACCTGTTGCAGGTGTCCTGCTGATCGGGCCACTGCGCCTATGTTAGTCATAGGTACAGAGGCAGTTAGCGTAGTTACATGCGTAGGATTATTATTTTGCCCCACATATATATACACTTACCTACGATGCGTGGGTCAGTCAAGCACAAATCAACGATTAAGAGGCAGACGTGCAGACTATTTTTCAGCGATGTGGTTATCGTTATACCTATAAATCTTTCCAGCCAAGGGAAAAAATAGAGACTGCTTTATATTGTTGAATACAATGGGTACACCCAATAGCGCTCGCCTCACAAATTCCTTAGCGTTAATAAGACACGCGTTTCTATAATATACGGCCGCTTGTTTGCTGCCTCGGCATAGGTCAGCCTTTGTTTATCGATATGTAAATAGGCCTGCTCTACCTGACACTGAGTCAATTTAGCCCAAGCTAGTCCTAAACAAAGCTTAATCCTAAATTGAACAAGCTTTGTTTTACATATTGTTTGTTTACTATACCACTTACGTCACTAATATCACCTGAAAGTAGCCAGGATATAATATAAAAAGAAGTATGAGATTTGTCGTTGATGAGATAGGGTGGCCATTAGTTCTTTTTAAGTTATGCTCTGGCTGATTAAATCGGAGGCCTATGTATATCCCGACGTTTGGACTGAGTAAAAAAAATCAAATATTATTTGACGTATCGGAGTTTTAGGCAAATTAGTGACGCTGAGCTTTTTTTCAGTTAGTATTTTGAACTTGTTCGCCGCTTATAGGAGTGACAATTTGCAGCCCAATGCGTCCCCCGACTTAAAAAGTAACGATGCGTATGTACAAATGAATGTGAGGACTTGCATACATTTTTTTTTCTATCTGACCCAGTCCCTCAAGAGCTGGACGCGGCCATGCAACGGACACTAAAAGTGTTTATCGTCGGGCGACTATCAAAAGTCAAACCCAAATTAACCGGGTGTTGTCCCGTTTCCAACGCTGAATCTATTTCGAAAAGATGTCCTCCGCGCCGTATGTCAATTGGGAGTCACCAAGCGAACAAGGTGCAAAAGAAACAAGGTAAATAAGCTCTGAAGAACGCAGAACGAATACGTAAGCCAGTGTTGCTAGTTTGGTCTTCACAAAGATTAAAGAACGTGGGAGAGGGTTCCACGACAGAAGCTTCATTTTGACTATGATGAGGCTTTATTTAAAGAGTACAGCTTTGACTATAAACAATAAATCAGTGTAAAAACCGTCTGTTATACCTTAGCCTCTAGCAAACTAATTAACAAGGGACTACGTTAGGGCTCTTATAGAAGACTGGCAACACCAACCATTCGTTCGCTGCCAGAAAGTGAACAAATGAAGATAAACAGTCGTAAATACAACCTGCGGTGTCAATATCAATCTGTGCAAATATCGAACACACATTTCTCCAACACGTTCAGATCTCGGTCTGAGCTAAATAAGCCACATTTGCGCTTAGCTGCTATATATATATATATATACACACGAGATTTCACTGGCTGAGATAAATAACCTCCGGGCCCTGCGTGATTTCCGTCGGCCTTTGTGATATAATATCAGGTATCCTAACACACCAACAGTTTCTTTGGTTCAAGCACTTTGTTTGTCTTTACTGTTCGTACGCGATCCAAGTCTACGAGTCTATCAACTTATTAAACACTTGGCAGATTGGGTCGCGATAAAAGCTTAATTTTGCCAGATATTGGACAGGTCGTCTCAGCAAATCAAGGGCGACGTGCCATTTCAGTAGACTTAGTTCTTCTTAGTTCTCAAAATATTTTTTTCCTGACATTCTGAGCTCGTCTGTTCTAATTAAGAGGGCAAATTCCCTGGTAAAACAACTACATATCTTCCAGGCGAAGCTATGTGCATAGAGTGGGGAAAAAGCCCTACCCAACGTTTACAGTCAGCTTCGCCCCACGGATTTATTTCTTTAGCATAATGTCTTCGGCGAATAAATGAGACCAGGGTAAAAGCCGACACAATCGGCTAGCTGAACTGAAAGAAACCTGCTTTATTTTAAGAACGGTGTATCAAATATTACCAATAAAGGCATCACGAGAATATGGGAAGCCTTTTTACTGAACGTCGGCGATAAACGACACGGACTGAGGCTTAACTTAAGCTTAGTTTCGTGTAATGTAATAGGATGTACAACAGGAATGTATTAAATATCATAAACAAACTTCCGTTTAACCGTGAATGATCCAGGTTGGCTTTTAACCGATGTCTAAGCTTTCGAAAAACTTCTTTGGCAATTACTTGAGTATCACCGGTTAGTAGATCCAGGTCGGCATGGGTTTCAGGGGTCTGCCTGCGGATCGAAACTTTGTGCATTACTGACATCGACGTTAGAAGAAGCCTAAGCCATCATTCGATTTTAAACGATGCGCGGGTGCAGTCCAAGTGCAAGGTGGTTGATTGATTTTGGCGTGTTGTTAGCGTTGGGTAAGGCTACTAGGCTAGCGATAAACCTATCTAAAGAGGCCGATGAGATAGAACGATGAGGCGTGAATCTGCCAATTGAATCTGTGGGTATATCTAAAAAAGCTAGCGAAATTGCACTCAGGGAAACGTCGTTGGCAAACCATCAGGTTCAAATGGATCATTATTGCTTCATAGTCGGCTTCTTTCATACAACAGTCTTTTCGTGGGCCTACAAGCCACCTCATCGAACCCGCCGATGATCGGAAAATCCAAGTTTACAGGCGAAAGCTGCAGGTTGACATTAATACTCAGGTTGCCCTTTGTCCATGAAGGGCAGATCGGGAAGGATGCCACTCATCGCTCAAATGATGTTTTCAGTTAGTCACGAACGTCCGCTGGCGATAGATGGAGACTCTGAATATAAACTTTTGCTTATAAATTGGCCCGATAACGTTAGCGGAAACCAGACGGACAGTACACAAATTCAAATCACCTACGAGAGTTACAGGATGGCCGATTTGCAGAAACTCGTAGCCGAGTTGATGTATGCTGTCTTGGGAATTAATGGCGAAACCTGTCGGTAAAATATGCACTCACAAATAGCCCGTGCCTACTATGTAGTGATATATGTTATCATACTGCACAGCAGAATTTAGACTCTCGCATACCCTGTTCTTGCAATACACAAATTAGCAGCCGATTGGTGGAAACTCGGTACAAGAAAGCCGATAGTCTTCTTATGCTCCAGTGATGAAGGTAACGCCTGTTGAAGTGCAGTGACATTTTCCAGACCACAAGTCTTTAGTGAAGAATCCTAGCATAGGTTAATACGTGGGTTAATAATCGGTGCGTACATTTGCGTGCATTTGCACTTTGCAAAATGCAATTGTACTTCACTCGCTGATCCATTGTTCCTCGCTTCGCTGTGCTCGTACTGTTGCTGCCGCCGTTGTCGCCGCCGCCGCCGGAAGGGGGAAAGATGGGGGAGAAAAGAAGGTCACGTTCTGCATCTCTTATTTACTTATTTGTTCGCTTTTTTCTGCATCAATTGCGCACCCTCGCTACAATTTGCTGATGACGTACATTATAATAGATGCAGGTGGTGGCGATGGCGCTGCTATTTCTATCATGTTCTTTTACCGTTGTGTATCATGCTGTGCTTAGTATTAGGGTTGTGCATATTCCGTATGTGCGTGCTTGTTTTTCAGTGCAACTTCTTTTTTCTGACCAACATTATGAGGGTGCTCGTCTCCAAACTGCGCAGTTCACACGGTCAAGAGCCTATTCAGTTTCGGTAAGTGCTTCGTCTGGTTTCAGAATTGAGAGAAGAGGTACGACGTGCATAAAGAGGCGTATGGCCTAATTCGGATCTGGCAGATTTTTTAACTTCTTAGTAATGCTCGTTTCAACGAATCGACGCCTAAAATAGATATAATAATACTGTGTTAACAGTACATCTGACGCTAACGCTAAAACGTTTGTTTTTCTCTCAGACTACAAGAAACTGATGAGCGTTGGGCTCGCACAACAGCGATGTAAAACTAGGGTATCCATAAAATGAACCCTACATATTGGGAACCGTACTGATATAGTGACAGTTTGCTACTTGCAAAAGTACTCCTAACACTAAATGTATTCGAACTAAATGGCGAGCATTTGGAGCAAGAAAGCGAAAGATCCAGCCTCATTTCTCGTAATGCTGAGGGGGCAATAGGCAACTACCTATGTATTCAGTTCTTGAATAAGAAGCGCAGATAAACAATGCAAGTTACAATTAATTTACATTTTTTTTCTTTCGGTTTGTTCCTTTTTTTATGCCTAAAAATCCCCTGCTCATATCTAAAAGTTTCGTCCTTTATTCGCATTGCCTCTTCAACACCTGCGTCGCGGTTACGACTACTGCTGCCGTTATCCCTACTGCTGCCACTCTTTTGATTACTTCTACGGTCTCGGATTGCTCCCCACAGGAAAGCTGCCCGCGCCGTTATGATTCTGTTTCCCCTGTTTGGGATGCATTTTCTGCTGGGTCTCTATCGGGTGCCTGACTATTGCGGAGGTCTAACCTTGTACGCGTATTATAGCAAAGCGTCAGACGGCCTCCAGGGTACCTTCGTAGCATTCCTATTTTGCTATCTCAATGGAGAGGTGAGTACTTATATTTGCTAGTAGTTCTTCTAATCTACAGCTGTTTGTTGTGGTAATAAAAGTTCGACCTGGAAAGCAAAATAGCTTAATTCAAGATACTAACAATATATGGCCTTCAATGCGGTGTACAGAACTAGCTAATAAAAACAGCATTTGTATTCTATGAGCTGTACAAAGGAAAGAACCATGCAGTAAAAAGAAATAAAAAGATGCAAGCGAATTGTTGCACAATAGGCTAAATATCACAGACTGCTATCGACCAAATTATGAGCCTGCTAGCCAAGACGAAAAAAAAAAATTCAGCTTATATGCAATCTAAAAAAAATAGGTGAAACCCAATTTTAGGGATTCTTATATCGTTCTCTATATCAATTTTCTGACTCTGCAGGTGCATCACCTTCTGAAACGTTCATATGGCCGATATGTCCTTCGGCGCGGAATCAACAGTGGCCGAGGAGTACGACTTACCGCCAGAATGTCCTTCTCTACGCACGTATCTTCCGTCGCCGAGACCAACGTCCGCTGTTGTGACGTGACAAAACCACTCACCCAACCGAATCCGCATAAAATAAACGACACCAATTGTTAATCAACGATCATTGCTAACTTTATGATGCTAATGTGATGTTCCTTTTCTTTATTTTCATGACAAGCGTCAAAAACCCCCATCACACAAAAATATCAGGCATACAAGGAAGAAGCGTGAGGCGGTTGTGATAATAATAATAATACTAGAAAGCACAATAATTATAGTAATAATTAATTATATAATATAATATTCATGGAGACTGTCACTATAGCTATAGCCGATATAATAATTAAGTTTCAACTGCTCACAGCGGCGGAACTCTGACGCACTTCGCAATCATTTGGACTGACGTAACAATCGCCATTGATTGATAAATGCGACCGATGCAGTCTCACTTTAAATAAATAGCGCATGGTGCCACTTTGTAAATCACAGGGGCTGCCATTATTCGGTTAGCTTATGTTGGTACTATACACGGTAGCTAATAACATTGTCATCTTCTATCATCTAATTAACAATGTCATCTTAAAGTTCTTTCATGTTCAATATAAATGCACAGTGATAGGTCCTGTTTAATGTCACGATGAAAAACAAAACAGTACTAACTTCTTAACAGGTCTTCAACGTGTACAGCTTCAAAATTCATATCAATACCATGTGTATTTTTATAGATATGCTGTAAACTAGCGAGTTTCCGTAAACGCAAAAAACTTTATTGTCATTTAGTGACTTGATGGGTAACGTTGAAGCCCGATTCCTATAGATATCCGCGCCAGAGGCCTGAAAAAGGCCACAGTGTAGTACCAAACAGTGCTCGAAATTCCAATAGTTGCTGCTCTTTGCAAATTGCAGACGTAATGAACAGCATGATACTCATAGAAGAAATTTAGAAAATAGCTAATAAACGTTGCATCTAAGGAGAAGACTCTCGGCGACGACTTCAACGATCCTACCCACATTTACGTGATGGGTAACCTTCAAGAGTGCTTCATTGCATCGCTAGACAAAATTATGTTGGTCTATTTGATTAACCTATAACGATGATGGAGTGCCCAGGTACGCCTGAATGTACAGCGTGCGTCCATTTGGTCTTGCTCCACACTTTTTTATTCAACACAAGTTAGCGTCATGCGTTGACAATCGAATGCAGCGTAAGCCTGGCTCGCTTGGTGTTTATTGATGCGCGGAAGGATAGAAAAACAAAAAAAAAACGCTTCCAATGCCCTTTTGGGCAATACCGCCGCATACACTTACGTCTTATCTAAGTGTACTCTATAGACTTGTTTCATGTTGTAAACATATGTATCTCTTCATGTATTTAAATGCCGTCAGTGTTGACACATGAATTAAGCCGGTTGATCCAGCATCATACGTTTCATATGCAAAATTGTGTGTTTTTTAAGATCACTTTAGAGCGTCGTCGTTGATCAGCTCATATATCGACCTTGCTATCCAGTCAGTACACGCCACTACCTCAATAACACCTGGGTAAAGGGACCCACTTCGCAAAAAAGCACACACACATAGGTGTATTCTGCTTGTCGTGTGTAGTAGTATATCGCTGCGTATGTCCATATATCGTCTTTACCTATAAAAGAACTTAATATTAATTTTTCTGCTGAAAATGGCCGCTTTACACATGGACCATCTTACTATTATGCGGATTTAGAAGATTTCTTTCAGTCAGTGTCGGTTTCTGTAGTATGGGATTAGAATGAGATACTTGTTTCCAGTTCCAGAACGACACGATAGTGGCATAACTAAGAGGGAAAACACCTGTCGTACGTATTAGGCTGTTTAAAAAAATTGTCGTCTACCTGAGGTCAAATGGTATGCACCGGTGGTGGGCGTCACCTCTTTGTCCGACGCACAAGATTATGACCTGAGTTTTGACTTTAAAGGTGGGTATCAGTTATGGAAAAGACGTGAGCTAGCGACAATGATCTTCTTTCTGTGGGGTCTGAAAGCCTACGGAAGCAAGCCAGAAAATCTATTTCGCGTACACCGTCAAAGCTCTATCGTTAAAATATACGGGCTCGTCAAATACTTATCTGCTCGCAAAGAAATGGTTGGACACGATACTTGTCGGACCTGAGAATATCAGTTATGTGTATTCTTCTAGTGGAAAATACCGCCCCGAAATATATATAGCGAGCCATTTCGGCCAGTTATAGAGCTCTCAGATTTGTCGCACCTGTACATTGGTCGTTCGGCAACTTTTTGTTCTGGGTGCAAGACAACTATCGAAAATGCTATTTTCCACTTGCAAACGTTTGGTCCAAACTCCACGCGACACTGTTAAAGCGACAGCAACGCTTTATGACGACAAAGAAGATTTCGTACAAAATGTCATATTTACTCATTAGGAAGTAAGACTAAATAGAGCGAAGCAATGAAGACAACCGCGATTACTTTCCGAGCGATATGGTCCATAGATATAATATTATATTAGTCGTCCATCATGGATAACATATATATATATATATATGTGTCTATTTATGACACTCATCAGTGACGATTGGCTTCTCACTTAGTTACCCTAGAAGCGATAAAAAATCTTCACCTTTTTCCACAGGTCTAATAAATGATCGATATGTGGTCGTATCGTCTAATTATAATCACGATCATGAATATTCCCTTTACTATAAACGATATGTGTATAATATAATATTGTATTCCGTATGTATATGTCGTCATATCATAAACTCATGTATTAGTAGCGCCACGGCTGAAGTATGGAGGCAGTTATACAAGGCTATTCTGACAACACTCAATATTAACTCCGTTAAGACTCATGTAAAACCTTATTGTTATTATAAGAGCGCTTCTCAAAGGATAGGTCAATACACGCATATAATCGATACATGGGAAAACGAGTAGCAACTGCAAAGGCAAATAACAGTGACACAGTGATATACACATTAGGAAATAATAATAACAAAAACTAAAAAGTAACATAACAAATTCCTGCTAGTACACACGGTACCAGTATTAGTCATGCCTCGAGAGTTAACGACAGCGTGACGTCAAAAGCGGGGTGAACAGAAACCAAAAGACCGAGATAGAACTCAGTCGAAAATAAAAACGCAACGCCATATAGAAGAATAAACAATATCAGGGATGTATTTACTAACCACCTGAGTCATGACTAATACACTTACACTAGTACTCAGTCTAACAGATCCTGTCATTCTTCTTAATATAATACTCTTGTATCCCGTCCGTGTGACTGTCTCGTTTAGCTGTGTTTATTTTCTAGCTTTCCGCAAGGCCGGCATTGTCCACTCCCTCCGCGTTTCGCTCCCGTGACATCTACTACATAGATACAGACTGGTGGCTCACTACTCTTTCTGCCGACCGTTGACACTGTTCCTGCTTGCTTGTAGGACTTGCCTCTATACGCCCGCAAGGGGTGTCGATGGCAATGACTTGGCCGCAGTCTTGGACCTGAAACTGGAGAGAGGAATTGCAACAACGGCAGTCTAACCGAAAGGACGATATCGCCTTCGGTAACAAAGTTCATCCTTAGTATAGTTTTTGTCACGAACCCTCAGAGCAGTACTATTAACGGGGCCTTTGGTCACCGCTCCGTATCGTGATAAATCACCATTGACGGATTAAAAGTTCGTAACATATTCCGCTTAACTACACCTGCTCTTAGCTGCGATACAGCAGCGATGCTCCGCAACCAGCACTTCGAGATGATCCAAAATTGAAAGTCAAAGCTGTAAAACTTGATTAGTGGACTGGCTTGTCGGGTCTACATAGAACGCTATGCTACAGGACGGCAACAGGTCGACAGTTGATCGGGTTAATCGACCTGTATCTGAATGGTGTCCTGACAGTCTGCATATAGGAGGCCTTGATCGCTCGCATCTTGACCCCGAACAACAAGAGCTTCTCACAAGACGACAAGGGCAGATACTTTCCATTCTTACAGAGCTCCACCATATGCAATCTATAATGGGAAGGCGCAACGGTTATAACAACGATGACAATGACACTGGAAGACGGTATAAACAATCCACAATCCTCGGAGGCAGCGCTTAACATAACCCGACATATATAAACCGTTATATAGACTACCCAAATCGATAGCCGTACTACTTACCTCTCACCCTTTGCTCAATGTTACTCATGCAGCTGGCTTCCTTCATGCAGTGAGCGTTTGGAGCTTTGAGAGGAGCCTGATTCAAGCACGTGGACGAGGGATCGCAAACATCGAGAATAGAGGTGAAATCTTCTCACATATAGGTAAAAAAACTGGTCCCGCCCTTCGTCAATCCAACCACTTTACGTTGCCTGCGACGATGAACCCTAACAGTGGACAGAGCGCCAACATGTCACGCTCTAGTAACATGACCATACACCCATGCTTATTCCATATGTCCTACTTTACCGTTCCGTAACCCGTCCTAATCTTGCTGACACAGCCCTATCTATTTACCCTTGTGCGCCTCGTTACCAAGCGCATTACGACGCAGTAGGCAGGAGTCGGTATACAAACAAATTCACGCACACAATCCAAACCTGTAAGGGAGGCGGTACAAAGCCAGTGACATCGTTGATTTGCTGGTTTGCAGTCAAGCCACCTCAGGCCAACGGAGTAAATAACACGGCAGGCCTACGAACACGGAGCCTGCTGGCTGTTGCGACGCAGCGCAAGTGTTTGTGTACAATTGCCTTGGCGTCGCCAAAAACGTCAAGGCCGAGGAGGCCAGCAAACAATGATTGTACGACGGATCACGCCTTCGGCCGACTCCAATGGAGCCGAGGAGGCAAGCGAATACCTCCCTTTCCTTTCGCGGGTATCGTCCCCACCAAAACACACCGACTACAATAACCCAATACCTACCGCGACAATGATAAGCACTAGCGGCATCTTGCCGTACCCGTCGCCGCTGCCGTTATGCCACTTCGGAATGGTAGAGCCGCCTCCGTTAGGCCTTCCTTTCGATATTCATAATGGGCTAACATACTCTCGATGGATCAACGAACCCAAAACTTCCGCTGCGGACCCTTAGCTGCCTCTCCGCATCCTGTCAGTACGTATCTGTATGTATGTGACTGCTAAAGATATATTATAGCTTGCATAGAAAAAGTAAGCACAGAAGGGAAAGAAAGAGAAATGGACACTACGGATAGATGGGGCTCGATGGTCACATGGGCTGCATAAGCGAGTTGGACGGACCGAATGTAAGGTCAGAGTGCTCCAACCTAACGGGATCACGATAGGAAAGTGAATATGCACAACTACGCACGAGCTTGCTGAACGCATCTAAGTAGTTCTAAGCTTCCATACCTTCTGGCCATGATAGTGGGTTCGCTTATGGAGTCGGGAATGGTACCAAAATGAAATATATACGGTAGCAATTATCTGTATCACGCTGGGCTTTCTTGCATCATATATTACGTGGGTGTGCATAATTTACCTACTATGCATTATGAGTAAGCCTAATGGTGATTATCACGATTCGAGTGGTCAGGCTTTTTTCTTACAATACATGTTGTGACGAAAAGAAAACCGAGAGATTGTGTACTACCTTCAATAATCATCTAAACTATTATAAGAACTTACAGATACAAAGCTACTGGGATTAACACATGCTCCATAAGACATGAAACAGGATTCTTTCGTTCTAGCTGATAACGCCACGTACAAACATCATGCTATACAATTTTCGAAAATTAAAAATATAAAAAATCATAAAATAAAATATTTTACCACACGTTGCCTGTATATGCGAGATCAGCAAAACATGAAACCTCCGGTTTGGAACAGATGGAACAGGAAAAAAAATTAAGACGCTGAAATATTTTGAAACCAGTAAGTGCTATGTGTTTATAAAAAAAAATAGATCTTATGCCGTGAGCTGTCGAACGTTTCCAAATACCGTAGGATACTGTTTCGCTAGTCAGCGTTAAATATATTTTTGAAGCGTTGAACGTATTTCTCTAATAGAGAAGGTGATCGATTTCGATTTACGAGCTTGTGTAAGTAGAATTTTTTTCTAACTTCGTACCGTTAGGAACTCTATGAGTATTTACAGTTGAGGTTGGGACTATTTTTGTGTTTTTTTATTTGTAAGATTAATTTTGTCCCTTTAAATACTGAGCATTGATCCGATAGGTATGAGGTACGCGAACGTTTACAATTGGAATCATTAGCTGGTAAAAGCTATGTCCTTAGAAGGCCTAGTGTCTATCTATATTTACTTTTAAGTGTTTCGTTGTGTCTGCCGCCCAATACTGCGCGCTCAATTTTTGCCTATACCATGTTTCTTTGTCTTGGCTGAATTATTAAACCTGTTCCGTCCCGAAACATTTTCCATGTTGTTAAGATCTTGAACAAAAAATAATGGTCTGTGTTAATCCTAGCCTGGTTATCATTTTTTAGCTTTGTAAACTTCGTAAGCTGTTATGACCTTTTTGACCAAAACGAGGTAATTGTTCTTGCTGACATAAACCAATGTATTTTCTACCAATTGGTTAGAAGGGAAATATTCAACCATAAGGAACATTACGCCAAAATCATATTTTTACCTTAAGGGATATCTTCCTATACACTCTTCATTGGGAATATTTGGTCAAATTCTGTCCAAATTGTACAACTTTCAATGAAAAATATTTGTAGAAGATAACACCCATATAGTTTAGCGGCCGTCAGTGGACCAGTATTAAAGACCTAGAAGAGTCTGGTAAAGCCAGCGCACTAAGCCATACAGGTCTCGTTTCTAAGCTATCTCAAGCTGCCTTTGCTTACTGTTTCATGTTTGAAAGCACTTTGGCCAGATATCACTCATTCATTCTTTGAACTACTCTGTTCGAGACTGGAAACAAATCAAACGCCAACTGTTTGTAAGCGCGGAAATTATTTATCATGTATGGTCATTATTACGAAGCTTTTATGAGGCTATTTAGATCAATAGCATAAATACATTACGGAAAGCATCTATCCAGACATGTCCTGTCACATGGGTCAAGGATAAATATCAGCGAATATAAAAAGATCCATGTCGAGTCATTAGTAAGTTGAGTAATAACTTAGAAGTTGCAACACCTTAAAGACAAATGTTGGTGGTTACCAGCTCACATATTTACCAAGTTAGTTTTTTTGTTAGCATCATACGCGTGTTCCTACGATACGATTTATAGCTCAATGAATAACAGGTAGGGCCGATCCTCTATGGGCAGATCCTCTACGGGATCTAGCTGACTATATTTACTGGACCCGTATTTTTTGTTGAGACGCGACTGAATGTGTACACAAACCTATATGAAAGTAGGACAGGTAGCATGCTACGTATTCTATGTATTCATGTGGACACTTCGTATGGGAACTTTCGTTCACAGCGTATGCTGCTTAACGCTAGTTTTCCGAGTGTACGCTTTCGTGTTTCGTAATTTTCTACTTAGCACTTGTGTGGCCTAGCTCTCCGTGTAATATAACAAAAAGTTTGAGCCATAATAAAAAAAACAGATGCGTATGAAGATTTATACCTTCATTGTAACTATTAAATTTACTAGTTCCCAATAGTGGGCTTACTTCAATTGTAGGCTCATGGTCCTTCAACCTGAAAATTTATATACTTCAGTCGCCCGCCTATATATGTACGTATCCTGTACAGACTGCCTGTCACTGAGATGACTGATGTTTACTGAGAATGCAGCTTACCCATTGTTTTATCCTTGCACGTACGTGTATAAACGGCTTTTATGAATGCGTCCTTTTATATCCGTGAGTCCGTAGCTTGCCGGCAGCCTCACTCGTGCCTTGTCTGCGCACCCTACGGATCAGCAGCTTTGTGTTTTCCGGCTGTCTGCTTTAATGCTGCATAGCCGGCAGCTATTATAAATACCCACAAGTTGACTCTGCGTGGGACGCTTTTCGGACTCACTTAGCTGCGAGTCTCAGACATGTCTACTATCATTAAGAACGAGATATTCAAAAAAATTTATATGAAGAGATTCGCAAGATATATAATCTATGCCCTCCTGTTTGGGGATGTACGGCATCTTGGTGCCCCGCGTGATAGTTCCAAGCGCTCACGAGTGCTTGAAAGATACGG